GGTAGGGACATAGAGATTCAGTACAGCTGGGTGAAGAGGAGTGCCAACTCATTTGCGGATGGGTTGGCCAAGCAAGGAGTGAATAGGGAGGCTGTTTTCTGGGCTAGTTTTTAATTACATTAGGAAAACTTAATTTTGTTTTTCAATAATTTTCTATTTATACACATTTTAATCCTCTTATTTATATTCTTCTTATGCTTTGTAATATCATAAAGTAAGAAAACTGGATGCCTTCTTTATGCTGCATATGTGCACGTTTTCTGCCCTTGTACTCTGGAAATTCAGCATTTTGGGTATCTTAAGCAGTTTTAGTAATACTTAGAAATGTATATATTTTTTCTGTAGGATAAAATAACAGAAGGGGATACTAGGGATGCCCAAGCACATGATTCTCCACCTTCTGAAACTGGCACATTGTGTGAGGAAATACTTTTAAATCCAAATGTCTTTACTGAGTTCAAGCTTGCTGGGAGTGAAGAGGTAATTCATTTCCACTTTATTTTGTCTTCTTCCCTCCACACATGCATATTATATGTATCCTGTCTCTTTGTTATTTTCTTTATTTATGTTTTTTCCCTGCTCTTGCTCATCCTTTTCTTGTTCATCAGGAGATATCCTGTGTCTTTGTTATTTTCATTATTTATGTTTTTTTCTGCTCTTGCTCATCCTTTTCCTGTTCATCAGGAGATAGCTGCAGATGAAGAAGGTGTGAGGAAGGCTGGCTTGTATCTTAAAAATGTTGTGCTTCCAAAATTTGTACAGGATCTTTGCTCACTTGAGGTCTCACCCATGGATGGCCAGACACTTACTGAGGCCTTGCATGCTCATGGAATTAATGTTCGCTATATTGGACAAGTAAGCATTTGCTGAAAATTGTAGATGGGAAGTAATCTCTTTATTTACCTTCAAAAATATAAACATGGGAATCTGACCATCCACGAGTGGATTGGTCGTCTGTCTCACTTCCACACAGATTTATAGTGGCTCCTAGAAGTGCACAGTTGGTTATCAATTAATGGGTGTTCCTACACTGTTCACGGGGAGGGATTGTCTGACCAGCCATACTCATTCTTAATTAGCAATTTGGAGAAATTTTCTTTTTCTATTTTGTTTTATTGTTTTTGACACTTTGTTTCATGTCATCCAGATAGCTGATATGGTCAAGCATTTACCTCATGTATGGGATCTTTGTCTCACTGAGGTCATTGTGAGGTCTGCGAAACATATTGCCAAGGTTATCATCTTTCCTGCCTATTATCTTATGTTCTTTTAAGTTTCTATTTTTCCCTTTCTTCCTGCATATATTGGTGCTTGTACTAAATAGATTGTTATGCTTATTAAACTAAAAAAAAGCATTACAGTAAGGAGTAAATTAAGATATATTTTTGTTTCCATGCTAAACTTCACATTTTTCAGATGTTGTTACCGTCAATGATGGCTCTGGGTCTCTTTGGGCCTATAGGATAGAGAGACTCAACAGGGGCTGAAGTACTGGAAGGTCTACAGGATTGAAATTAGCTAAATCTCTAAATTTCCACAACTTTGTGGTAGGAGAGCACATGAAGGTGGTGGTTGGATGGATTGAAAATAGATTTTCAGGGTTTTGAAAATACAGATATATCATCACAGAAGTTGTATCTTTGGCCAGCGAACTAAGAGCCACATTCATATGGACCTAAAACTCAGCTAACAGCATGTCTGATGCTATGGCAAGGCAAAGGGGTAAATGGAAATCAATTATTTTGGGAGACTGTCCCTAGGAAAATTAGATTTAATGCACAATGTTATATTGAGATAGCTATCTGATGCTAGCCTGTACCAAGGGCTGCATGGTGCTTTTCATCTTTTACATCATTACTTTATGCATGCATCGTGATTAATAAAATTTGTTTGTTACTGATTAAAAAATTAATGGCTCTGGATCATGATTCCAGATTCCATATGACATTCCCTTTCTTATCAGAACTATCCATGATCTATATGCCATTAAAATGGTGTTTCTCATAGTTGCCAAGGTGTTTTCTAGGTGACAAGGAACCTTTGGTTGGGTCCCTTGCTAAAGGCCATGCATTATATAAGATGGTTCACATCTAGGTGATAAGGCGTTTTCTCAAGTAAACAAAATTACAAGGCGGACACCTTATTGTAATATCACCATCATCATCCTCCAAGCCTTATCCCAACTATATGTGGTTGGCTACACGAATCCTGTTTTGCCAATCTGTTCTGTTTTAATGTCATATTCATTGTTAAGTTATTGGTGGTTAAATCATTTCTTATTACTTCTACCCATGTCCTTTTTGGTTTACTCCTAGCCCTTCTAGCCCCTTCAACTAGAGGTGTAAAATGGGCCGTGCCTCCCGCCAAAATATACCCGTGTCGGGCCGGTCTATGGGCCGAGACTTGGGATAGGTTGGGTCGTGCATCGGGCTGAAGTTATTTATTTTAAAAAACTAAAAAAATTTAATTTTTTAATTTTATTTGAATTTTTATGTATATAATTGCTTATATTAGTGATTTAAAAGGTGTGCCTAGGAGTACAGGCGAGGTGCATTTTGGGGTATGCGCCTCGCCCTGGTCCTAGGCGTACCCCTTTCAAAAGGTGATGCCTGTGCCTAGACCTGTTCATGGGCCGGGTGGCCCGACGGGTCGGCCCGGCCCGGCCCCCGGACGGGCTTGAATAGGTATATGGGTCCGCGGGCTTAACCTCGGGCCAAAAAGCCTGACTCACAGTAAATTCGATCCGGGCTCGGGATTTGCCAAATAGCCCGGCTCAAGCCCGGCTTGGCCCGACCTATAAATAAACCTAAAAACCCTAGTCGAATACCCCTCTTTTTTCACCTCTTTCCCTTATTTTTCCAGCCGAACCCTTCTCCACATCCTTTTTCCCTTCTTTATATTCTTTTTTTAATGTAAATAAATTTTGAATTTATATTCTTTTTTTAATGTAAATAATTTCTAATTTATATTGATTATTGAATAGGGAAAAATTCTAATTTTTTTTATTAGGTCGGGCTTTGGGCTTCGGGCTCGGGCTTCGGGCTTTTTATCAGGGTCGGGCTTGGGCTCGGGCCTAACATATTTTCATTAATGAAGAGTAAAAGCCCGGCCCAGCTTGGCCCATGAACAGGTCTACCTGTGCCTAGGCTTCGTTTGATGCACCTTGCGCCTCAGCCCAGCCGTGCGCCTTTTTAAAATTTTGCGCTTTTTTTCTAATGTTGTTCATTCATTCATTGCAATAAAATATCTTCTTAAAAGGCAATGAAAGTTATAAAATCATTATTTTTTATGTGAGAAATAAGAACTTCAGACCCTAACATAGACTTGTTCGGGCTTGCCTCGAGGGGTGTGGTACAAAGGCGACTCATAGAATCAAGAATGCAATATGTTTTACATCATTTTAGCTACTTGAAGCAATGTAATTAAGGAGAAAAAGAGATTGTGGGTTTTACATGCTTGAAAATGCTTTATATGTTTGCTTTTATTTTTAAATTTTCATTTGAATACACTTTACATGTTATGTTTATGTATTTTAATTTTAGATAATAAATTTTTTAGAACATTTATTTTAAAATTTAAGTTTATATTTTTTATTAACATTATGTTTAATATTTTTTGAAAAATTTGCATTTTTTTTTATAAATTTTGGCATTTTTTGAAAATTCTTACTTTTTTTGAATTTTTAGTTTCTTTTTTGTAATTTTGCGCATTGCTTAAAAAGGCGCGTGCCTCGCCTTGCGCCTCAGGCGCAAATTGGTCCTTGCTCTTTTAAAACATGGCTTATATATACAATAATTAAATAAAATAGTATAATAAAATTGAAAAAAATTGTTTATTTTATTAATATATTATATACTATATATTATTATATAATTATGATTTATATATTATATATAAATATATAATATTTATATAAAATATTTATAGGCCTTGCTGGGCCGTGCCACGGGCTGGGCTGGGCCAGCCTGCATTCCACGGGTGGCCTGGTACGACAGTGCAGGCCGTGCCAGCTCGACCCACTGACCTGCAACCCCAAGCCCAGCATGGCTATACAATTGTGCTGGGCCACGACACAACCCGTGGACCATTGGGCCGGGCTGGCTCTGCTCAAAATCGTGCAGGGCTGCGGGCGGCACGACCTGATTTACACCTCTACCTTCAAATTGCAACAAGTCACTTTTTACGGGTGCTGTTGATGGCATTCTATGCATGTGACGAAACATCTTAGTTTACATTCTCTCATTTTATGCCCAACTTTTTGAAAAACTAATGGGGTTGGGTTGTTATTGATCAGGCAAAACTCCAGTACAAGGTTGGGGTTGTGTAATGGGGCTGATATGGTGTGGACAAGAGGAAATGCTAGGATACTTGAAAGTAGGTTTAGTTTATTACACTGTTGTAATGGCCCTGGCAGGATATACTCATGGGGTACGTAGATGCTTTGTCCTTATAGTTCTTTTTTGATATGGGCACTCTTTTTTGTACCTATTAGGCATTTGTACTGATGTATGGTTTGGATGTGTGTTCGGGGAATAGCAACTTGCTGTGATGGTAGTAATTGTAGTTTTCTTGGATCAACACAATATATTAATATTTTCAAAAAAAGGGCTGATATGGAGTGTGAGATTGAACACGTGGTCAACCTCCATGTGGCGTTTTTTTAATGATCTCTTCAGTTTTGATCAAATTGAATTGACAGTCAAGTTGGACTAAGTCACTGTAACCTTCATTATTTTAGAAGTGCTTTCAAAATTTTTTCTTGTGATCTTCAAAACCATGACAACAACTAGCATCAGGCTGTCTTCTAGTGCAATACTACTACCCTATGGATGGGTCAGAAAGTTTGTGGGGGTTGAATCTTCAAAACCCAAATTTTAGGATGCCCAATTTTGTAAGCATGTTCAAAGCAAAGCACCTTTAAGTATCGTAACTTGCTCATTTTATAATGTTGACCTAAATTATGCAAATTCCAAAATTACCCATGAACAAAGCAAACACCTTTTTTGGGATGCCATAAAAACAATCTTGTTCATGGCACCATAAGCTGAAAAAAATTGAAAAATCATCAATTTTATGAGCATCCATGACTTCTGTCGCTGATAAAGAGAAGTAAATTGAATTGGACCTGCTGAATAGTTTGCCAAATGAAAATATAAAAACTTACAGAATCATCTTCTTATGAACATGCAGGAAATTTTGAGGGAATCTCAAGATCATGATGTTGGGCCAGCAATCTCACATTTCTTGAATTGTTTATTTGGACATAGCCAACCTCTTGGTACAAAAGTTTCTGCCAATGGTATGCAGTCTCGAACTCAGAAAAAGGTATGCAAAACATATATATATATATATATTTCTCTTTCTACCTAGTGGAAGCATTATCTGTTAGAAAAAAAATCTAGAATCTATCTTATGCCATGTTTTGGGGACAAGGGAGCTGTAGTACTGGGAATAGTGAAATCTTATGATGCTTATGCATGAATTAATTAAGTATTATTATTATTCTTATTCTTATTATTATTTCATTTTGGAGTTCTAGCTCTGTTCTAATTGTTTCCAGTGAATTTGGTTGTACAATTTTTTCAGGACCAAGCAGGGCAGCAAGGCTCAGGAAAGTCCTTTAGAGGGACAAAGTTGAAGAATGGAGTATCTGCAAGGAAAAATCAATCATCATATGCGCATATTACCTCAGAAAGCCTATGGATTGACATTCAGGAGTTTGCAAAATTTAAATATCAGGTATTTCTCTTACAAAAAAAAAAGATTTTTCCAAGGGGAAGTTAATATCTAATTAACCTGCTTGTATTCTTTATTTGGCTGTTTTTAAATGAAAGTTTCTTTTGTAGTTTGAGTTGCCAGAGGATGCAAGATTGCGAGTAAAAAAGGTTTTGGTTATTCGTAATTTGTGCCAAAAGGTATGTTTAAGTATTGTAAATGGAACAAAATTCTGATCTAGTAATTATAATACCATGGATTTCTGGGCCTTAGCTTTTAACTTTTTAGTATGAATGGTTTCACTCATTATCTCTTCCTTAATTCTTATAGATTGTCTTTTTCTATTTTCTAATAGTAAAGTTTTTTTACTGAAAAAATAGAATGAAGCGCAACTTTTATAAGTAGATAGTGAAGAAATAGGCACACCATCATCCTGAGAAGCAACCTTGCTACACTCCTTTTGAAACAGCTCCACTTGGATACTATCGAAAAATGTGAGAAAGTAACAATATAAGAAAATTTAACAATATGGTGCCTGCTACATAGCTCCCATAGGTGATAAAATGAAAGTAGATTGTGATGGTTTTATAACAAGAATAAAGGACCATCTACACCACCTATTAGAAGTGGACTGTTACAAGCTGAAGGGGCTAGAAGAGCTAGAGGTAGACTGAAAAAGACTTGTGTGGAACTGTGGAAGTAGTAAGAAATGATTTAAGTGCCATAGTTTAACAATGGATATGGCACCGAACAGTACGGAATGGTGAAACAAGATTGGTGTAGCTGACTCCATATAGTTGGGGCAAGATTTAGATGATGATGATGTGCCTGCTACGTGAATCGTTTTCTGCCATTCCACTATGTTCAGTGCTGTATACATTATTAAACTATGGGCCCTCAAATAATTTCTCACTACTTAGACCTGCATAATTTTTGGTCTGACCCTTGCTCTTCTAGATCCTTCAACTTGTAACACTTCAACTCTTTTGGTAGGTGTTTTATCTACATAAAATTAATATGCATCAATTAGTTAAATTGGTTGGTTCAAGTCTAATACAAATATGATTTGTTTCATATCTGGATATTAAATGGATCAAATTTGGATTTAGGTATATCTGATCTTTAAACAATTGCAATATTGGTGAAATGGTTTATAGAGTCTCAAATTACTTAAGGCCCCGTTTGGTTCGCAGGAATAGGGGTCTGGAATCGGAATCGGAATGGGCTATTCTGATTCCATCTGTTTGGTTGGGCGGAATCGGAATCCCATTCCCATTCCCATTCCTGCTGGAATGGCATTCCCCCATTTGAGGGAATGGCTACTCCCTGCCCCTCCCTTGGGAATGAAATCTCATTTCTGCTGATTTTAATTCCCATTCCCATTCCCATTCCAGTCTGAACCAAACAGATTATGGGAATGGACCATTCCGATTCTGGTTCCGGAGGATTTCGATTCTGATTCTGACTGCGAACCAAATGGACCCTAAATGTTGTCCTTGGTGATCCCCTATGATCTGAATTGATAGTAAATCTATTTTTAATTTTCACATCATGTAATATTTGGGCTTGTGTACTTGTAATGTATGCTAAACATTGAAAGGATTAATTGTGTTCGGTTAGGATTTGTGGTTTTTGAGACAAGGTATGCTTGGGTTGAGTGTTTTTAGCTGGGATGGTCCACCCAGCACCATACAATCTGCAGACTAGCTTTGTGAATATTTTAATTATATGAAGGTATGATGTGGCATGTTTGTATGTATTTATTTTTGGTGATTTTCTACTTCTAGAATCATTTTTATGTTCTAATATGTGAAAATTACCAGAATTAATTCCTTCTAGGGCTGTTCAAGGGTCGGGTTGGGTCGGTTTACTGCGGTTTTTCCAACCGACCCGACCTGGTCGGGTTACCTGACATAGAAACCGAAACCGACCTGGTCGGTTTGAGTCGGGTTGGGTCGGTTTCGGTTCTAAGTTCATCCCTGTGATTAAATCTTGCTAATTTTAAAAACAGTCATAAATTGAACATCATTTCAGCCATCTCCTATGATAAAATTTAAATGAAAAGTTAATCACAAAAGTTGTTCATTACTATTCACTAATCCAAAGTTTCTTGCAACCATTCAAAAACTAGGTGGCCTGATGGGCTTTGGAACTTCATGTTTGAACTAGGAACTAAGTTGGTTCAGTGCGGGGCGGTTTCGGTTTTCTTGTGTGAAAACCGAAACCGACCCGAATCATCAGTTTAGGAATTTGCACAACCCGAAACCGACCCGTGCTGACTCAGGTTGGGTTGGTCGGTTTGGTCGGGTTGGGCCTTCTTATGAACAGCCCTAATTCCTTCTTTTTGGACCAAACCTCATTCATAGAAGTGATTCTGTGGTGCTAAAAATTTTAGCTTCACAAGAACCATTTTTAGCTCAAGGCTCAGATCACAATTAGTAATGCTCAGGAATAAAATTTAACTAATGCAGCCTAAATTTCTATTCTGGATCCATCTGACATTGCTGGTCATCCTAAGTTTCTACCTTCTGGTCTAAGGCTACTGCTTATACACATGCTAATTACTGTCGATAAGACAGGCATCTTGACATAGTTACTATTTTGCTGTATTGAATTGTCTTCAGTAAGTGTGTTTACATATAATTTGTAGTAAGGTTGAATGTGGTACTCTTAACAGGTAGGCATAACCGTTGCTGCTCGCAAATATGATCTCAATGCAGAAGCACCCTACCAAATTTCAGATATCTTGGATCTTCAACCTGTAGTTAAGCATTCAATTCCAGTATGTTCAGAAGCCAGAGATCTTCTTGAAACAGGAAAAGTCCGATTGGCTGAGGTGTGTTATGTGCCTCCTCTTATAGATTTATCATCCCAATATTTGCCTTTACATTGAAGATAGAAAACATTCTATGGTGTTCTTGTAAACTGATTTGGTAGAAAACATGGTTGACAACGAAATTGTTGTGTTTCAGGGAATGCTTAATGAAGCTTATACATTATTTTCTGAAGCATTCTCCATTCTTCAGCAAGTATGATTTCTCCATTCATGTTGATCCATAGAATTTTCCGCTTTGTTGTTTTCCTTTAGTTTCATTTGTGTTTTCTCATGGGTTGTAGGTGACTGGTCCAATGCATCGAGAAGTTGCTAACTGCTGTCGGTAAATCATTGTTTCCTCTAGTATTATGTTGCTTTTCTTGTAGTCATGTCATATCTTAAACCAAGCAGATGGGATGTCAAAATTAATAATACATTATTAATTTTAATCAGCATTTTTTCTTTACAAGTATACAAGGAAGGATTATTGCAGGTTCAAGTGACATTAAAAAATAATTGATTATCAATTATAATAATTTTAATTTCTGAATTTTTTAATATTTTCAATGGTAATTCTATGTACCTACCGATGGTAGGCTATAGCTATAGTACTGTACTATGAAGCAAAAAAAGGGTTATAGTTCTGGATGAGAATACTTGAGCAATTCATGCTTTGTAACTGTCTTACAATCATGATACCATTTTTTGAAAGTTTTCTCACGAAGCAGTTCTGATTATCAAACTTTGAAATTGTTGCTTCTTTTTTGATTTGGTCTAGCTTTATAAAGGAATTTGTGTTTGCAATTGCTAGTGTTGGATACAAAGGGAATTCTTGAACACAGAAGAATGCTCATGATGTATTTGCCACCCTATTCACAGCTGATGTAATTTTTTAGGTACCTTGCCATGGTTCTTTATCATGCTGGAGACATGGCAGGAGCCATAATGCAGCAACATAAGGAGTTGATTATAAATGAGCGCTGCCTCGGGTTGGACCACCCTGATACTGCTCACAGGCATTAATTCTAATCACCCATTCGTTGTTTGTTGGTCATTGAATTTATGTTGTTATTTTCTTCACTGGTACCTTATTCCATGTCTGTATTTCTGTAGTTATGGCAACATGGCTCTTTTCTATCATGGTCTCAACCAAACAGAGCTTGCTCTGCGGCATATGTCTAGAACGCTGCTCCTTCTAAGTTTATCTTGTGGTCCAGATCATCCTGATGTGGCTGCAACTTTCATTAATGTTGCTATGATGTACCAGGATATTGGCAAGATGAATATAGCTCTTCGTTATTTGCAAGAAGCCTTGAAAAAGAATGAAAGGCTTCTAGGTGAGGAGCATATTCAAACTGCAGTATGTTATCATGCGCTTGCAATTGCATTCAATTGCATGGGTGCCTACAAACTCTCACTTCAGGTATGTATTTAGCCCCTAATGAGAAAATATAGTATATATAGTATGTCCTATTAGTAAATATTATGAGGAGATTTGTTGCCAAGTGAACTAAGGTTGTTTGTGACAGCATGAAAAAAAGACTCATGATATACTTGTTAAGCAACTTGGTGAAGATGACTCCAGGACACAAGATTCAAAGAAGTGGATGGCGACATTCCAAATGCGTGATCGTCAAGTAAATTCATGCTACAGTAACACTGCTAGTATTGAAGTGTTCTTGCATGGTAGATCCACATTGATGGTGCTTTTTTTTCTTTCAGATGAATGCACAGAAGCAGAAAGGCCAAGCAGTGGATGCAGCTTCTGCTCAGAAGGCTATTGAGATATTGAAGGTATATTTTATCTTTTTCTTTAATCAAGTTAAGCTAGAGCATTGTCCATCATAAAGGTTCAATATGGTACTGGTTTGATAATGATTGTGCAAACATTGAAAGTGTTGATATAACATTATAAATTTCTGAGCTAAAATCCGTGAATCAGCTGGTGTTACTGCCTGAAAAATGCTCATGGAAATAATTGTCAAGGAAAACCCTAGAGATAACTGTTACTGCCAAAAGGATTTGTTTTAGTGATGCTGTGAACTTTTACATGGGTAGTGATGTGCACTTGTCTCAAGGAGCCTGTCTTTTTTTTTCCTACCACTTCATTTCAGAATACGATTGCCAATATTGTTAAATGGATGCACTGCTTAATTTAGGAGGTGTTCAACATGGTTGGAAACTGTTACGATCCATTTGTCCCATGTTGGTAGTATGGGATGCTAATGTGACGTATCCCACATCGGTAGTATGGGATGCTGTTGTGGGATATATATGTATTTGGGTTCCCTCCCTCTAACAGCTAGCTTTTAGGGGTGAGTTCTCCTAAGGCACATATCAGAAACCATGTCGTCGAACAACCCTTCAATGTTGCCATTGGGTTAGAAAACTTTTTGTTTCTATTTGATTAATTGGTATTAGTTTTTGATGTGATTTGCAATGCTTTTGCATGACAGGCCCGTCCAGACCTCATACAGGCATTCCAATCCGCTGCAGCTGGAGGTTCTGGAAATGCCAATTCATCAGTGAGCAAATCCCTTAGTGCAGCAATTATTGGAGAGACCCTCCCTCGAGGGAGGGGGGTTGATGAACGGGCTGCCCGAGCAGCAGCAGAGGTTAGGAAGAAAGCTGCAGCTAGGGGTCTCCTTGTACGTCCACATGGTGTTCCTGTCCCAGCTTTGCCACAACTCACACAGCTTCTGAATATAATCAACTCAGGGATAGCTCCAGAAGCCTCGTCCAATGCACAATCAGAGGATCTGAAAAAAGAAGCCAATGGCCCAACCACGAATGAGTTAGGAGATAGCAAAGAGAATGGGTGTGCTACTACAGCCCAAGAAGCTCAGGCTCCTGTTGGATTGGGCACTGGCCTAACTGCTTTAGATCCTAAGAAGCAGAAAATGAAAACAAAAGTCACCACTTAGAAACTTGAAACGAGAAGAGTGGGATTTGCACGAGTAATTTGGCCTAAGTTTTGGTCGTTGCGGTGAGTTTGAAGGATTTGGTCCACCATTCTTTTGTTGGAGATTGCTTTTTTCCTTCATCAGATTTGAGTGGTAATGCTCCTTGGAGGTTGCATCGAGTATTGGATGATGCCCATGAAGCGTTTGTATTTTATTTTCTTAATTATTTTTGCTCATAATTAAGGATGCTTTTGGATCTCAAGAAGGTCCAATCAAATTCCAACCGCAAGGTAAATTGTTACTTACCTAGGTGTAAGCTTTTTTATTAAATAATCTGAATGACGTTTTAGTTGATTAGTCATCTGATGATCTGATCTGCCTTTCTTTTGGGCAATTTATTTTTATTTTTATTTTTCATATTTAAATAATTACTGTAAAATAAAGTATTTACTATTTGTCTAGTTCCATCTGAATGGAATTAATCTCTATTATTATTGATTGGATGTATGTACAAGTAGCGACAAATGATTTTAAGCGCTAATAATTTAACAGTGGACGGATTGCTGAAACATGATTCTCCGACTCCAATTTAGTAGGGATAAGGCATGAAGCCATGATGATGATGTAGAACATGGTTCAAACTTCAAAGTATTAACATTTCGACCACTTTCACAACCTGCTTTCCGGGATGACCCCCAAACCAAATCTCTGGTTTTATCCAATAACATGCTGGTTGTGGTCCTTGTGGATGTTATTAATGCTATTCAATATCCAATTTTAACCCAAATCTGATTCAAGCTAAGGCAAGATTCGACTTGAATCCAAATGTTAACTAATCAAAATTAGTTTTAGTTAATAATATCTCCTATGATCCTATCCTATCTGTTTGCGGCCCTATTTAGAACCTCCATCTGTTTCACAAGAATTCAAAACAATAATCAGCAATTTCACCTGTCATCAAACGGCCCCTAAGTTGAACTTGTCAAACTAAGCTACTATATGGCAAAACAAGAATTACATTAGAGCTTTTTTTTTTTTTTTTTTTTAAATATTAAAAGTTGGAAAGTTAAATAGCAAGCACCATTTGGCAATACGTTCAAAGGATGGCGTGTTATAGAGCTAAAGGTAAATAAGAAAATAGCAATCAACTTCATAGGTCTATGGAACAACTATGGTGTCCTAACTATCACATAGGCTACTTGACTTTATTTAATTCGAAAAATTTAATTTATTACAGCCACAAAACATTTTTCATGGTTTATGTACATCGGGCCTGGTTCACACTTCAAAGTATTGACACATGCGATACATAAAAAATGAGTATTATATACGATTCAAAGAGATGATACCCATGGATACCAAATGTTTTTGGTTTTAATGTTTGACCATAAGGCTATGTTTGGTTTGAAGGAAAAGGTAGGGAAAGGCTAGGGAAACCCATACTAGATTTGTAGAGGTTTCCCTAACTTTCTCTACTTTCCCCTTCAAACCAAACACAGCCTAAGGGTATTAACTATGGAATATGGCCAAATATCTTAAATCCCACTACTTAGCCTTTCTGTGGGGGTTTGATATCATGGTGTTGTTTGTCTTATTATTCCATTTCAATGATATATACAAGCTACTATGCTTGAATTTTATTCTATTTCAATGTATTTTTTTTTTTTATTTCGAGTGTAAAACTCACTTTTAGAGGAAATATTTTTTTGACATTTTTTCTGGTCTGATTCTATTTTGTCTATGTAATGCCTAATGATGTTTAATGGCACTTATGTGTATATAATAAAACAAATTAAACAATTATTACTTTACACTTTATGCCCTTAACTTTTTTTTTCTTATTTCCAACACATAAACACAATAATAGACACAAAACACCATGATACCAAACATTATTTTATTGACCTCGGAAGGAAACTAATACTTATAAATATGGTAGATAATACTTTGAACCATGAACAGGGTGTTTGGGGGAATGCAGATTGCAGAGTCAATTCATTCACATCGATTGCAACTGCAGCAATGCTTTTTACTTTGACAAGCAACTCATTAATTAGATTTCCAGTAACATGAGATTATAGTATCTTTTTGGAGCTTAGTAAAATGGGATTTCTTTTTTAATGTTTTTGGACCAGACCCTAGGTTGAGGAATTCTCTCTTATTTTCTATCAAACCAAACATTGTCCATGGCCAACTGATTAAAAACTATTTATTATTTATATAAAATAAGTTCCTAATGAATATGATTATTCATGTCAAAGACTAAAGCTCATAAATTTATTTTCACATAATTTCTACTTGATATATAAATTATTTTTGTCCATTTTAAGATATCTTATGTATTGTTCAGCTATTCATATATAATATTTCTCTGTTCGGCTTCTGCGACTCTAGGAGTGGAGTGCTCCGAAAGTTAGCTGGATTGCAGCATGCAACGAGATCGATGGAGTTCATCCAAACAAAAGTTGAAAGCCGAAGTAAACAAGCAAAGCAACCTCCCTGATCCCTCTATTATCTATAAAATGAAAAAGAAGAGGCTATATTGTGAATGATATCCGGCCGGCGGCATGAACAAGTAGAATTGAAAATGAAGGCTCCTAGTCCCAGTAGCAGTGGTCCTGGTTTAGTATTCATCTATTCTCTCAGCCTCATCCTCTTCCTATTATTCTCTTTCCTTCCATCTTCCACCTTCGCCTCCTCCGCCCGTTGCCACCCAGAAGACAAAAAAGTCCTCCTAGGATTCAAGGAATCCATTTACGTCCATCCAGCTCTCACCCAATGGGATCCCAACACCGACTGCTGTGATTGGGCCTTTGTCAAGTGCGACGCCAACACCAACCGCGTCACTCAACTGTTTATCGCCGTAACCACCATCGTCGGCCCCATCCCGCCTGGCATCGGAGACCTCCCTTACCTCGAATTCCTCGACCTGTCCGTCTTGAATAATGCCGAGCTCCCCGGGTCGATCCCCGACTCCTTCGCCAAACTTCAGAGACTCAAAACTCTGTCTATCACCTTGACCCCTCTCTCCTGTCGCATACCGCAATTCCTCGGCCAACTTAAAAGCCTGGAGTGGCTCGACCTCTCTCGCAACAAGCTTTACGGTCCGATTCCGGCTTCTCTAGGGAAGCTCAAGCATCTGGTAAATCTTCGACTCCATGGAAACAACCTAACGGGTAGGATTCCCCACTCGTTACGCCAACTAAACCCCTATCTGGTCTCCATGTACAACAAGCTTACCGGGGATGCGTCCATGCTTTTAAGGCCCGACAGTTCGGTAAGATGGATCGTTCTGTCAGACAACCGGCTCAATTTTGATATGTCGAAGGTGAGGTTCCCGCAGAACTTGACGGGTCTATATCTATCGCACAACAGGATTCGAGGAAGTATTCCGGAAGAGATCACCAAGTTGGAATTACTACAGGTGTTTGATGTGAGTTACAATCGTTTATGTGGAAGGATTCCGGTGGGTGGAAATGTGCAGCAGCTGGGCAATTACTCATTTGTTCATAACCGTTGTTTGTGTGGTCCGCCACTCCCCGACGAGTGTTAGTAATCCGGCAGGCCAGCTTGAAACCCGAATTTTCCGGTGGTCGAGCTCATATTGGCTTAGCCAGGGGAGTGCTGTTAAGGAAATAAGTCGACTATTATGAACTATTTGTGAAAATCTGAACTGTTTTACTATGTCTTAAATAAAGGAAAAATTCCAGATTAGTAACATGTAGTGCCACTTTGATCCCCAAACTTTAAAATGTGATAATTTAGTATTTATAAATTTCAAAATATGATAATCCAGTACCTGCCGTTAATTAGTTGTTAACCCGTTGTTAAGTGGCATTTGAAAAAGACATAAATGCCTTTTGAATGTCATCTAATTTTCTTTATCAACCATCCAAACATTGACAACAAATTAAGTCTTAGATCCTTGCCTTTTCTATTCAATAAAGTTGGGGTCACCAGAATGCCCACTCAAATGTGACCCCAACTTTTTTGAATGGAAAATGCAAGGATTTGGGGCTGTTAATTTTTTGTCATTGTTTAGATGGGTGATAAAGAAAATTAAATAACACTTGAAGGGCATTTGTGTCTTTTTCAAATGCCACTTAACGACTGGTTAACAACTAGTTAATGACACGTACCGGATTGTCACGTTTTAAAAGTTTGGGTACTGAATTGTCACATTTTAAAGTCCAAAGACCAAAATGGCACTAAACCCAAGTATATGGTACCAATTGGGAATTTTCCCTTAAATAAATAAAAAAACGAAACATCTTGTTATTTTTTGTATGTCATCATTTTGATCAAAACCCTCACTAACTCTATTATAAATTGGGATTCTTGTAGATAAGGGCAACTTTTGGCCCATAATATCAATAAAAATAAATTTTTTAATATAATATCAAGAAAAGGCTAATTTTTTTGAAAAAAATATCAAATAAGGAAAGAAATACTGTTAAGTAGGGGTGGCCACGAGCTGAGCTCTTCATAACTTACTCGAGCTCAGCTCGGCTCAGTTTCAACCGAGCTTCGAGTCGAGCTTAAGCCTAATATAGTTTGGCTCGTGAGGCTCGCGAGCCGAGCTCGAATAGCTACATACATACTACTACTACTACTACTACTACTACTACTAATATATATAATATTTTTATTCTTATATATAATAACTAATTATTATAATTCTTAATTTTTTAAATATCAAATAAAAAATATTTTTTATATATACTTTTTTATTTTTATATTTTTTTCTCAAGTCGAGCTCGAGTTGAGCGGAGCTTGAACTTACAAGTTTTTGACTCGAGTCAAGCTCGAGCTCAAGGTTCTAGCTCAAACCAAGCTTGAGCCTCATACTATTCGGCTCGGCTCGGCTCGAACCCACCTCTATTGTTAACCTCCTTCCTCTTCTTGAACAGTGAACAGTGATGTCAAATCTCCCCCACCTCCTCCTCCTCCTCCTCCTCCTCCTCTCTCTCTCTCTCTCTCTCTTCTTCTTCTTCTTCACAAACAACTCACCAGGTTTGTTGAAGGACATTTGCCACACCTGAGTGCATTGGGCTTGTTGGTCAGAGGAGAGGAAATCTTTGCTCTACTCCGAGTTTGGAACAAGAAGATGTGGCGCCATTGTTCACCTTTCTAGAGGAGGAAAGTTGGCCTATTCTAGAGATTATATTAAAAAAATTATTTTTATTGATATTAGGGGCCAAAAGTTGCCCTTATCAACAAGAACCCATTATAAATTCAATTATTGATTCATCTCTCCTCCCTCCATCTATGAAACACATTTTAGGGGTTTCTCACAAATAATGCCAATTTATGAGGATTAAAAGTCTTAATAGGGTTTAAATTCAGCTCAGCTCGGAAGGAGGTAGAGGGACCTATAAGTAGACCTGTTCATGGGCCGGGCTTTTACTCTTTATTAACAGAAAAATGTTAGGCCCGAGCCCGAGCCTGGCCCGACCAACGGGCCTACAACTTGGGCCCGACCCTGAGCCCGACCCTGATAAAAAGCCCAAAGGCCGACCTAATAAAAGAAATTCGAATATTTCCCTATTCAAATGAACATTATCTATTTTAATTCAGATGTTTTTTCCCTATTTAAATGAACAATGGGCCTACAAGTGAATCAACAACCTTCTTAAATCAAAATATTTATTCAAATGGACATCACATAGGGTTTTTACTTAGGTTTAACTATAGGTCGGACCGGGCTATTTTGGCTCGGGGTTAAGCCCGCGGGCCAAAAAGCCTGTTCAAGCCCGTTCGGGGGCCGGGCTTTTTGGCCCGAGGCTAAGCCCGCAGGCCAAAAAGCCTGTTCAAGCCCGTCCAGGGGCCGGGCCGGGCCGGGCCGGACCGGCCCGTCGGGCCACCCGGCCCATGAACAGGTCTACCTGCAAGGAAGAAACAGTTTGGTGATATCCCAGGCTTGAGACTCCGACGAGCAAATCATTAATGAGTTGAGCTACCCTAGGTGAATTGGGTAGCAATAAATGTAAGAAAAAAAATGTGTAATGAATGTGAAGCCTACCTTTATATAGATTAGGGAATGGGGACGCTCGTGTTAATTTGCACGTGGTGAAGATGAGTAAGACACCTGGAGGTAAGGTGGGACACATTCAAGTGACTTGTATGCCACGTTTAACCATACGTGGATAGGTGGAACAACCACATTGCCAAGTGATTGTCTAGGCCTACATGTAGTAGAACTCTGGATGTTTTTCTTCTAGGCGGCATTTGTTGTTGGGATTGTGAGAGGGGTAAAAGTTGGTCAATGGACCAAGGAATCCATGTTTTTCTTTTTGATTTATGTGGGGATCAGAAAAAGTTTATTTTCCGAGTAAAGTTAGTCAATGGACCAAGCAAGTGATACCTATCTTCTAGGTGAGTAAATTAAGACAATGTTTGGTTCATTGCTCTAGGCTTCATTTTTTCAGTTCTTGCTCTTTTTAGGGAATAATGAATAATATTAGAGTTATTGGTTACAAAACTTTTACCATGGTTCACATTCTTTTTAGAATGAAAAATCAGCCCCACAGTACAAAAATTGAGTAGCTTGCAACATGAAAAATAATCATTCCGTATCTTGCTCATTTTCATTCTTTGAGGAAACTCTGCCTACAAAACTGTTGCCATAGATGTTTACTTTTGCGAAAACACTTTTACAAAAGTGCTTTTATATGAAAGCATTTTTATAAAAGCACTTTTATAAAAGTAAATTTATGAAAGAACTTTAATAAAGACACTTTTATCAAAGTACTTTTATGAAAGCAATTTTAGGAAAGTACTTTTATAAAAGCACTTTTACGAAAATACTTTTATACAAGCACTTTTGTGAAAGTATTTTTTTATGAAAGTACTTTTACAAAAGTAATTTTACAAAACATTTATGCCAAGTGGTAAACATTGACGATCAGCCATCCATTTAGTAAACATCTATGCCAATAGTTTTGGAAACCTAGGCTGGCGATTTATGAATACTGGTACAGTTTTTTTTTTCTTTTTTTTTTAAGAATGAAAATGAGCAATATAGGACACTTGTCAGTTTGAAAAGAATTCATTTTTAAGAAAAAAGTGTTTGGTTCATAGTAATATTTTCTCATTCTACCTAATTTTACCCATTTTGTCCATTTTAAAAAATGAGAAAAAATGAGAATTGAACCAAACATGACTTAGCTTTCCCATTTTGGGAAAGTTATGAATACTTGAGTAGAACAAAAATACCCCATTTTGATCATAAAATTTTTATGGTTAGAATAATCATTATTATATTTAACTAAAAAAATATAAAAGAACATGTTAACTGACAAGGTAGCTCAGATAATGTCTGAGGTTACCGTTGGTTGTCCGGGGTCGCCATGTGTGTTGGTGATGTTAATTATTGGGGTCATCTCCACCCCCATCAGTTATAAATGAGCCATTTGTGAACAACTGTTGGAGATGGGGGCTTATATGAGAAGGTATTAAACAGGCATCAACTATTGAAGTGAACATGCGGCCAAACCTATTGAATACCAAGGCTGAATCAGTGAATGGTCCCCCGGAATTCATTCCATACCACAAAAACAATGGAGAGAGACGAGAGGGAGAGAGTATTAATGTAGGCATGCGAGAATAAGTTAGTTGCCCACATTGCAAAGGAATATTCTCCAATGTCGACCCAATGTAATGACAAATAAATGTGGTCATCATGATCAAAGATCAATTTAACGATTGACGAACTTAGCCCCGGAAAACAAACGGGACCTAGATGCATGCATTGGATGATCGGATAGACCTGGGGCCTGGGGGTGGTGACCCTGGGGAGCTAACCTTGTTCTACACCGACATAAATCCACGGATTTTGCCTTTTGTCCAACACCTTTCTTTCTACACGTACAACTACTCAGCTAGAACAAATCAACAAATGGCATGTGCACGAGGTGGGACAAGAAATGTACATGATAGATGATACAAGCACACAGAGAAAAAAGCAATTCGAAACCAAGGGAGCTGGACATGGTTGACGAGTCAAAGTCTACTCTGACGTAATGAATGAATAAACTTAGCCACGTGTACTACAGTGTCTACCTCTGTCCGTCTATAAATTAACATGTGTACCTTGCATCTTAATCCATCCTCAGTCGCTACGCCACATACACAAACAGCTAGTGAAATTAAATTCATGGAGACTCACTTTTCTTCCCTCTCTCTTCTCTTCCTCTTTCTCTTCATCTCTTCTTCTCTCCCATCTCCATCTCTCTCCGCCTCCGTCCGCTGCCACCCGAATGACAGAAGGGTCCTCCTGAGCATCAAGGAGTCCCTAAACAATCCTCCCATCCTCGCCTCCTGGAAACCCAATACCGACTGTTGTAACTGGGACCAAGTCGAATGCCACCCCAGAACAGACCGCATCACTCTACTCATCATCAGCAAAATCAATACTCCCGTCCAAATCCCAGAGGCCGTCGGCGACCTCCCTTACCTCGAAAGACTAATCTTCACTGAGATGAACCTCACCGGCTCCATTCCATACTCCATCACCAAGCTCAACAACCTCAAGTTCCTTCGCGTCTGGATCACCACTCTCTCCTCCCCCATCCCTGAGTTCATCGGCCAACTCAAAAACCTCGAATACCTCGATCTCTCCGACAACCAGCTCTACGGCCCAATTCCTTCTTCCTTAGGAAACCTCAACAAACTGACTGGCCTTCAACTCGAAAAGAACAAACTCACGGGAAGCATACCCGACTCGTTTGGAAGGTTCAAAAACAAACTCGATTGGTTTGACGTCTCTCACAACCTGCTTTCTGGTAAGATTCCCAACTCGCTAGGAGAACTGGACTGTAAGACTACATCTATGGCTGATAACAAGCTCGTCGGGGACGCATCGATTCTATTCAAGGAGAACGGAAGGACGACGTCCATAGATTTGTCGAACAACCGTTTGGACTTTGATCTAGCGAAAGTGAGGTTTCCAAAGAATGTGACATATGTGCAATTATCTCACAACAGGATTCGAGGGAGTATACCGGAGCAGGTCACCGAGTTAGTTAACCTGGAAGTGATGGATTTGAGTTATAACAGATTGTGTGGAAAGATTCCGTTCGGCGGGAAGGTGCAGGAGCTGGGTCTTTACTCGTTTGAACATAATCGTTGTTTGTGTGGTTCGCCACTGCCTGCCTGCAAATCAATCCGGTCACCATGATTGAAGACAATGGGTGTTTGAATATTCGAGTGTTTGGTATCTGCACAAAAGTCCAGATTAATTGAATAAAATGCAGCAAGCACTTCTTTTATGTATTTTTTTTTAATTATGCAATTTATGTGTGTTTTCTTCAGAAATAGTGGGAATAATATGCATGTAATGTAATACTAAGTTTTGAATGTTAATTAATTTGCCATGAACTCTCACACAAGTATTTATTTGTTTACGGTGCAAATTTCATTTGCACTGGTGTTAATACATGAGGGTGCAATTAGGCATTGTGTAATTTCTGGTTTACTTCCTCATATTTGATTCACTCCGTATGAAACATAATATGGTCATCATTTTATATGAATTGATGCAAATTTTACATCAAATGGGACAAAAAAGGTATAAATTATAAATCAGATAGAGTTTAGAAGTGTAAATAATAAGCTACGTTTGGTAATAGAGCAAATGCAAATTCGTTCAATACAAATGAACAAAAGAATGGTTCATGCAAAGTTCATGCAAAGCCACCTTACATAATTGTGATCGTTTTTTTAAAAGATTAATGCAAATGCAAAGCTCACTCTATTCCAAGCAACTTAGTGGATCAACTAAAGTTTGGTTGGGTACAGAACCCAGCTTGAAAATTTTATGCAGCACTGGGCTAGGTCCAAGGCCCATCCTAAATGTGCAGGCCCATTCAAGTTCTAACAAATACTCAATCTGAGCCTGGGTTTAAACCAGGGCTGTAATTGAGTTGAATTTAGGTAGGATCCAACTACATCCAAATCTTGATCCGACTATTGAAATCTTGAAATCTACTTAGATCATATTTGAATTTAATCCAAATCCTCTTTATTGTATAATATCCATGTTAATTATTTTTTAATTCACACATAAAATAAATATATAGGTACAAAATATTGAATTTTTACATAATTATAAACTCCCTGGTGTAAGATTGTCTTACATACTGATTCCATGCTCGGATAAAAGAGATGGGTTGTATCAGGTTAGACGATACTAAACTTTTTGTTAAATCCTCGTGAATATGAATCTTGATTTTTTTTGTTTTTGTTTTTGTTTATACTAGAGTGTTTTTTTAAGGGACCATTTGATTTGATTTTCAGAATCAGAATCAGAATGGTTTATTTTTATAGTCTGTTTGGTTCATACAAGAATAGGAATAAGAATTGAAATGAGCTGGAATACGATTTAATTCGGAATAAGAATTGAAATAAGCTGGAATACGATTTAATTCTCAAGGGAGGAGGAGGGAATGACCATTCTGGGGCAATATCATTTCATCAGGAATGGGAATGGGTCGGATGGGGCAATATCATTTCACCAAGAATGGGAATGAGACTCGAATTCTGCCCAACCAAACAGTTGAAATTGAAATGATTCATTCTGATTTCAATTCCAAACCTCATTGCTGCAAACCAAATAGGACCTAAATAGAATGAATTGACGAAATAGCCAACCCCATATAATTGGGATAAGGCAGGGATCAAGGTTTTTAAAAATGGACCGGATAACGAACCATTCAGGGGTTCGGTTCCCGGGTTGAATGGTCAAACCATTCGAAAACCATTAGACGGTTCAAACCATCAAAAACCATTAACAAAAAATAAAAAAAAAACCATCAAAAACCATTAGACGGTTCAAACAGTTTGATCGCCCGAATCAACGGTTTACTGACCAAATCAATGGTTTTTAGCTAAAAGACGGTTTTGCGATAAAATGGAACCAATCAGGTGACCAATTCCCGATTTTCCCAGTCCGATTTTGAAAAATTGGCAGGGATGATGATGATGACGCAGCATAATGATAAAATTTTAATAGGATTGAAATTAAAAGCCAGCTCTAATTTGAACAGTTATATTCTGACTTTGATATTACAAGCATAGAAATCATGGAGAAAATGACTTTCATGAGGCCGAATTAATTATTTCATTACTTTGCCATCTGCGCATCGCTATAGTGTATAGTAGTATACCGTTGGCTTGCCTTGCCTATCAAAAATTCAAAATAGTCTTATACGATGGGCCTGTCACAAGGTAATCGGATCAATTGGTAGAGAAGTTTTAGGATTACGATCCATATCAAATTTATCCAAGCCACCAATGCTTCCTTTGGGACGGTTTCTGTATTTGAGGCGAGCTGCATTAATTAGTTGCTTTGGTTGAGCACCCATGGTGTGTTTTTGGAGAAGCTGTTTAGACTTTAGAGTTGGTTGTTTGAGTTCAATTGAGTTTCATGTTTTTGATTTGAATTTGACTTGAGTCAATGCTCCTAAGTTATTCGAGTTTGGCTTTACTCAGCTTGAGATTATACATACATTAATATTAAGTATGTTAAAATATTTTTATAAAAGAATATAGATAAATTAATATTATAAATATTATAAATAAAAATATATTATGAAAATCAATTATATATAATTGTATTTAATTATTTGTATTATATATATATATATATTAAAAATAATATTTTACTATGAATTCGATTAAATTCACGAACCACTAGAATTAAGGGGGCGTTCTTTTTTGAGATTTTGAGAGGGGGGAAAGTTGGTCAATGAGATTCTGATTTCTATTGATCAATAATACTGTGTTTATTTTTCAGATTAATGTGAGGAGCAGGAAAATTTTATTTTCTTGGGTACCTCCTAGGTGGGAAATTCCCACCTAAGAAGAAAGTTGCTAATACTTGAATGGGACAAAAATACTCCTTTTAATAATAAATTTTTATGACTAAAATAGTCATTATCTTATTTAATTGAGAAATAAAAGAACATGGATAAATGCACTTACCCGGATAAATATTTACCAAAAAAATTTACCCAGAAAATTACATTTACGGAATACAATTTGACCAATTACTCGGCTCGAATCAAGCTGTAATTGAGAAAGCCCTCCCAAAGGGCACTAGATGACTAAATTCATATAAAGCTTCGTCAGCAAATCATCTATGTATTATTTCATTTCCTTTTTTACTCGCTATATTTCTTCGCTGTCTCTTCTCCTACTTCCTCTCGTTTTCTCTCCCATCTCCTACTCTTTCTGCCTCAATCCACTGCAACTCAGATGACAGGAAATCCCATCTCCTACTCTTCCCAGAATCAAGAAATCCCTAAGCATCCCCGATCCCAACACCGGCTGCTGTAACTAGAGCTACGTCCAATGCAGTCCCAATACTAACCGTGTCATCCAACTCCTGGTTTACCAAACCACCATCAACTGTTCAATCCCGACGGCCACCGGAGATCTCCCTTACCTGCAAACCCTGGAATTCACCGAGATCGCCAACCTCACTACCCCCATCCTCTATTCTACCACCAGACTTCAAAACCTCAAAAGATTCCGCATATAGAACACCACTCTCTCTGGTCCACTCCCTGCTTTCCTTTCTCAGCTCAAAAGTCTCGAATACCTCGAGCTATCCGTCAACCAGTTCTCCGGCCTCATTCCCGGTTCCCTAGCAGAGCTCAATAAATTGACACATCTTGATCTCGGTTGGAACAAACTCACCGGAAAGCTACCCGACTCCTTCAGTAGACTGAAAGGTATCATAGACTTATCCGCTAACATGCTTTCCGGTAAGATCCCCAAATCCTTCGGACATTTGAACTGTGAGGAGCTCTATCTGTCATCTAACAAACTCACTGGGGACGCATCAATCTTGTTGAGGGAGAATGCGACGATGACGTCGATGATTTTGTCGTGGAACCGACTCGACTATGATCTATCCAAGATCAAATTTGCCAAGAACCTGGCGTTTCTGGATTTGTCACATAACAGGATTCGACGAAGCATTCCGAAACAGATAACCGAACTGGATAATCTGCAATTGGGTTATAATCTGCTGTGTGGAATGATTCCGTTCGGAGGGAAGGTGCAGCAGCTCGGTGCTCGATCGTTTGTCCATAATTTGTGTTTACGTGGTGCACCTCTCCCTGACTGCAACTGATCCGGTTGCCGGAATATTGTTCAGTATCGCTGCAGCGAAAGAACCAAACCGAAACATCGTTACGTTGATGATTTTGGTTGGCCAGCCGCAGCCTAGGCTGCGTAGCCCGTAGTACATATCCTTTTTTTTTTACTTTATTTCTTGTATTGACAAATATGGCTGAGTAGAAGGAAACTATATTTCTGTATAAATCGGTTGGGATCTGAGTTAAAATCAGCCCCCCACAAGATTACCCTCGCAACGTTCGATAGCACATCTCCGCGTATATTAGAAACATCTCCCAATGATGAAATCATCATTTTTGATATTATCATCGGAAAATATTCTCAATACATTGCGGGATGTTTCTTGGGGTCTTAGATTCTTGTACAGCTGCGTTGCCGGGTCAGCTGACTAGTTCTAACGGCCTAACTGCCGTGTATTTCTCTAATATGGATCGTTATATGATGGATTTGATAAGCTTGCTCCTCACATCCCATCATATTACATAAGCAAAAATCTCTCCTGAGATTTCAACAAAAACCTCCCTTCTGTTAGTGATTCAGGAAAAAAAATAAAATAACTAAATTACCCCTGATAAATTGTCAGAGAGTCAATAAAACATTTTAAAATGTAGAAATTGTCCTTGCTTCCCTTTCCTCTCACAATAGAAGGGAATGGCGTAAAATCCTACCTCCAATCTCCCCTCACTAGTTTTTCTCATTGATTTCTTCTTCTTCTTCTTCTTGGGAGTCTTAACCACATGGTCTTCTCCACTGCTCTCTGCAAGAATCATCTACCACTGTGGCTGCTACGGTTATCCACAACCCGCCATTGCCAACTACTTCAATCACCATGTCCTTTCCTTCCTCGAAATAGAAATTGATTGGGCGAGACTTTTCGGACAAATACATGGTTTACTTGTTCTCCTTCCCTGGAGCAAGCATCTAAAAGGCAACAGATTAAGAAACAGCAAGAGCGGCTGTTCTAGAGCGATATAGTGAAAATGAAGTTGTGGGTTTTAAAGATCACAAAAATGAAAATAAAGTCATTGCGTGGATTTAAAGAATAATCACTTATAAATGAGAGCATCGGGGAGAGTGCGGGAACAAGAAAGTACTCGAACTCGACAAAGGGAGAGACAAAAATGAGGAACACGAAAATATGTGCTCAGCAAATGAAAATAAGGGGGGAATGAAGTCATGAACCCATGTCTCGTCTTCAAAAATTGATACGACCATGACCAGCCGTGGAAAAGCATGAGAAACTCTATTGACAGTGGTAATCCCAGAAAAAGAAATAAGTGAATAGGGTGGAAACAGAGATGTGGGTATCATAGAGAAACAGATGACAAATAAAACCCATATAGAGGATTCTACGATTGGAGCCGTCAGTCATGGAAAAGAAAGAGAGAAACAGAGGTAGAGAGGTCTTCAGAGTGATGAGTTGAGGGAGGAAAAAATGTTTTTCCCCCTCTTTTTCTCGTTGTATTTATTTCTGTTTTATATTTTTTTTCAAGGCCTTTCAATTCACAGTCGAGAGAGAAGAAGAAATTAACGAGAAAAATCAATGGGGGAGAACGGGGAAATGATTTCACGCCACTCCCTTCTATTGTGAGAGGAAGGGGATGCAGGGGCAATTTTAATATTTTGAAATGTTTTATTGACTCTCTCATAATTAATCAGGGGCAATTTAATAATTTTATTGGTTTTTTTTGTTTGAATCACTGATGGAAGGGAGGTTTTTATTGAAATCTTTAAAAGTTCAGGGGATATTTTTGTTAAAATAAAACTATAAGAAAGGCTTATGATTTTCATAACTTTAGGAAAGGTTTCTGTATTTCATGGGAGATGTTGCCAATGCACAATGGGCTGAGGATGGTGTGAGGTGTGTTGTTATGTGAGGAGAAGATCCCAATTCGGATTTGGTGTGATTCGCGTTGACCAGAGATCAATAAGGTGTGAAATGCTGACTTTTTCACTCCCGTTGGATTATCCTTTCATCACCGTTGACACGCTTTTCATTTTGCAACGCTATACATCTAATCTAATTGATCAAAAGATCCAGTTTTGATTGTTCGCCGTGGCCCGTGGCCCGTGGCGGTGCAAGTCGAGTTTACACTAATAATATCATGCCACGTATGGTGGATAATCAAGGCAATCTCCGGTAAATCACTCTGAAAAAACGAAAATATAAAATAGAAGGAAAAAAACAGAAACAAAATTTCAGTAAATATTTCTTTGTGATCAATTATTTTATAAATCGACCCAGAACTGAAATTGCTTTCGGCACCGGTTTTTGGGTCAGTGATTATCCTGTCCGAACTCCAAATGGATGGTCTATTATAATTAAAAAAATAGAAATAATCAAAATCCATTATTTGGGTCAAAGGGGTCGATGATTCAATGGTTTTTGGTAAAAGACGGATTCAGGGTGAAGTGAAACTAATTGCGTGGGCGGTTTCCATATTGAACAGTACATGATCTAGGCTCCATTTGGACAAGTGTTGGAATTTTGGGTAATTGAAAACTCAAAAACAAGCCAAAGGTATATTCATGTAATAGCATTTTTCTAGGATCAAAATTTTGCAATGTATGAAGGTGTATCAAGCATATCATATCATTCCAGCCACATCCTGATACACTAATTAAATACTTGATGTTTGGGGATTTTGAAATATTCAGGAGATTGGCAAGAGCCTAAAAGTAAAACAGGCCCTTGTGAAATTTTGAAAAATAAAAAAATAACCTAGAGCGTGTTGGAAAACATCTGGTATGCACATCAGACGTAACTTTGTTTCTTACGTGTCAGTGTTTCAATACTTTGAATTTTTGGTATTTGAAAGTGGAGTTGCAAGTAGACCTGTTCATGGGCCGGGTCGGGCTTTCACTCTGTATTAACAGATTTTTTTAAAGCCCGAACCCGAGCCCGGCCTATAACTTGGACTTGAGCCCGGCCCTTATAAAAAGCCCGAAGCCCGGGCCTGTGCCCGAGCCCGAAATTTAGTCCATGCTGTTACTACTGTTGAAGCGGTTGAATAGAGAGAGATAAATTATAAAGAAAAAATAAAAAATGTATATATTAAATTATAAATATATATATTTCAATAAATATTATATTATTTATATAATATATAAAATACACATTATGTACTTTATAAAATATATAATGCTGAATTAGGCTGGGCCAGGCTCGGGCTGGACTTTTTTGACAAATTCCGAGCCCGGCCCGAAACATAGTCGGGCGTACTATGTTAAGCCCGAGGTCAAGCCCGTGGGCCTAATTACATGACCCCGACCAAGGTGCGGGCCGGTCCAGGCCAGGCCATCGAGCTACCCGGCCTATGAACAGGTCTAGTTGCAAGTCTTGTAGTAAATAAACATGCATATGCACTACAATAGAATTGTATTTGCAAGTTGAGTTGTTTAGAGAAGAATCTGAAGTCTTACTACATTCATGCAACAATTAAAATTTCAATATAAAAGACCTTACCATGTATTTGAATCAGGCCTTCAAATCTATGGGCAAGTTTTATACTGAAAAATGAAACTTTGACTTCCCAAGATTTGTTTGAGAAAACTATAGAGATAAGGTGAGGTGAAGTGTTAACTTAGACTAGTTCATCACTAAGGTGCTATATATGAGTAGATGGGCCAAAGTAACTAAGAAAGAAAGAATGGATTGTATTGCATCATACTAAGGTGCTATATATGAGTAGATGGGCCAAAGTAACTAAAAATGGTTCTAAGATATATAGGGAAATGTCTAAGATAGACTAAATGTAACCCTAAAATGACAAAGTTATTCCCAAAGATAGAAACTTACAAAACAAACTAAATTGTAAAAATGCCTCAAAGGTTGGAAAGAGTGATTATCTTATGAGCTGCTTTAATAAAGTCCTCATCAGTGTCCTGCTATGTTCATCACTAGTAGATCTATTTATGGGTTGGGTCGGGCTTTTGTTCTTCATTAATAATATTTTTTTAGGCCCGAGTCCGGCCCTTATAAAAAACCTGAAGTCTGGGCCTGAGCCCAATTTAACAGAGGCTGAAATGCATGATTTGTACAATGTTGAGAAATGCAGGATTCACCGCTGGAGAGAGGGGCGACTGAGTTCACTGGTGGCGCGATTGGCATCGGTGCATGAGTTTGCTGGTTCCTGAGAATATGCAACAGTGTGTAAGAATGAGAACTGAGAGAGAGAGAGAGAGAGAGAGAGAGAGAGAGAGAGAGATGACCGGTGCCTAAGCTCGCCTGTCGCTTGTGAAACTCAGAACGGTGGCTGCCTACCTGGGTTTGTGCCGGTTCTTGAGAAGAGAAGATAAAAGATGAAAATAGGGAATAGGAAAGGGTTAATCAACTAGGGTTTACAATAAAATACAAAATGTCGGGCTGGGTCCAGCTTTTGTGACAAATTCCGAGCCCGACCCATAAAATAGTTAGACTCGGGCTTTTAATCCCAAGGTCAAACCCACGGGCTAAAATCTATGCACAAACCCGTCAGGGGGTCAGGCCAGGCCCGGCCAGCCCGTAGGGYTACCCGGCCCATGAACAGGTCTAATCACTAGCTAGATAATTCAGACAACAAAACAGTTCTGAGCTTGAGTAATATATTCAGTGAGAGCAGGCTCATCTAATCATCACGAGACCAATGAAATGCCTACACAATTACCCCTCCCCAATTGATGAATTCAATGACAGGAATATCCTAACAAAGGACAAAGATATGAAGACAATACCCATAAAAAGAAAATTAATGCCAATGAACACTGAAGGACATGTATAGCAAACGGCTCTCTATTTTAAGTGTAATAAAAATGAACTTTGCCACCGTCCAAATGAATATAATAACAGCACAAAGTAGTGGTCTAGCTGTGGTGGTATACTGGTATTACAATTGCTTGTTTTTTTCTGGTTAATTAAGTAGATATCGTTGCTGGGAATTTGGGACACAGACAGTGGTGGATTACTGGATTTTGATCTTTCTGAAAACCAGTGACTCAAGTTTCTACTGGACCCAGATCCGAGATATATGCTCGTACTGGGTATATAAAAATATACATGTTAATTCGCTGGAACCTCATTTGTCTTTTCAATTTTCATTCCTTCTTTTTGCGGTTTCGAATCCCCACTTGGATTTGAGTGAATTGTGTCGATGAAGTCATGGTCTCTCGCTTTAGATAAGTATCGATCAGTCCATATTGACTTTTAAGATTGAGATCCAGCGCGCAGAGATAAAAATTAATATCGAAGACGAAGACGAAGACAAAGCAAAACAAACCACTTAATTTGACTTAGGTGCCGTTTGACGAAGTTTATTTAGATAGATTTTTCAGCAGATCAGATGATCAAAAGATGTATCGAGCTTTTGGCAAGGAAATCGACTTTAATTCTCACAAGACCTGTTCATACAGCTTTTTGCACTGTGCATTCGCAATATTTTTATATTTATACGTTTTTTTTTTTATGGGGAGATATTCTAGTTGTGTGAGCATTGAAACGATATATTTTGACAAGTGGCACAGTCCTTGCATCCAGTTTTTTAAAAGTTAGAAAAGACTAAAAAGCTTCAATTGTAACTTTCCCAAATTTGATGTTTTCGGTATTTTTGAGTCTTTTATTTTAGATCTTTCAAGCTTACCAAACTGCGCCTTAATCTGTTTGGTCTTTAATTTGTTGAATATGACCATCTTCATGACCTATATATATTACAGGTAGTCTATCCTCTCTGTATACATACAGAGTCAGCTGAGTTGATGGACACTCACATCTCTACTAGTTCTGCTTCCCGCTCTCTCTTCCTTCTTTCTTTCCTCTTCATCTTGTCTTATCTTTCATCTCCCACTCTTTCCACCTCTGAGCGTTGCCACCCAGATGACAAAAGAGCTCTTCTAAGGATCAAGGAGGCTCTAAACATTCCTGACCACCTTGCCTCCTGGAATGTTAGCACAGATTGCTGTTACTGGGACTACGTCGGATGCCATACTGAAACCAACCGCATTTACCAACTCCTCATTTACGACACCAGCATCCACGGACCCATCCCTCCGTCCGTCGGCGACCTTCCCTACCTCGAAACCCTTGTGTTCAGCGACATCAACAACCTCACTGGCCCCATCCCCTACTCCATCACCAAGCTTCAGAACCTCAAAATGCTGCGTATCATCTGGACCCCTCTCTCCGGCCGCATCCCTGATTTAATCAGTCAACTCAAAAACCTCGAATACCTTGATTTGTCCCGCAACCAGTTCTCCGGTTCCATCCCGGCTTCCCTTGCCAATCTCCGGAAACTGACAGGTCTTCAACTGGAAGGAAACAAACTCTCCGGAAGCATACCCGACTCATTTGGTAGATTCAAGGACAACTTGTATGTGTTCGTCCTATCTCAGAACATGCTTTCCGGCAAGATTCCCAAGTCGTTAGGCCAACTGGACTGTGAGTCAATCGACTTATCTCATAATAAACTAGTTGGGGACGCAAAGATGTTGTTCAGGGAGAATTCATCGGTGAAGGGACTTGATTTGTCGAGGAATCGACTAGACTTTGATCTGTCAAATGTGAAGTTTCCCAAAAACCTGACGTTCTTGGACTTATCATACAACAGAATTCGGGGAAGTATCCCTCAGCAAGTCACAGAATTGGATTTGTGGCGGATGGATTTCAGTTATAATCGGTTATGTGGAAGGATCCCGGTTGGCGGGAAGGTGCAGCAGTTCGGCTATGAGACATTTACCCATAACCTCTGTTTGTGTGGTACGCCACTCCCCGAATGCAAGTGATCGGCTGGGTTGGCCGGCGACGGCATGAATGAAGGCCGCAAAGTTTGAATTTTCTGGTGTATGGCTTGTTTGATATAGTTGATTTGAAATATAGCAGATGACTTAGTAGGAGTTGTGCTTTAATGAACAAGGTGATTTAATGAATCTCTTTGCGACCTTGTAACTTTCTTGACAAAATAGGCATTATAGGTGCTTCATTCCTTTCCTGATTAGCGATACTACAATCACTGATAAAACGGAATTCTCTCCATTTTCTTAATTTCCATCTTCTCAATAGATATGGGATATCTATTGTTTCTTACTGGCTCTATTGTATTACTGAGTTGCGACTGTGAAAAAATAGGAACATAAGATATCTATAGGTTAGAATGAGGTCCAACAACAAAGGGTTTCCGTTGTATGATAGATAAAAGGCCCATTCGTTTGTCGATCAATAAGAGAGAGAAAGTTGATCAATGGATATCTTTCTTAGATAAAACTTATCTATCTCATCTGGAATAAAACATAATAAAATAATTTTGTTCATTTTAATATTATTTTTTTTTATGAATAAAAATGTCATCCTATTACTTCAGAATCGAAGGAAATAAAGACATGAATCACTTACCCAAATAAATTACAAAATTATAAACCAAGAAGGCCGAAAAGAATGCAATAGATCCAGATCGATCATGAAACTMAAAAAATATGGATAAATACACTTTCCCCAAATCAATGAACGAATGAAAAACGACCAGGGCAGTTTTGTTAATTCATTTACATTTTAATTTTCTTATACACTTGCCCCCATCAATTAAAAGTAAGATGCTTAAGATATTCTTTATCACGTCCGGACCATCATTATATTTATCCATTTATTAGTGTCCACTATATCTTCTCTCCTTTGACGTGCCACACAAGCCCACAATGCGCGCACATGCCATACAGCTGAGCTAGTACTAAATTAGGTGGATAGTCAGTCCACTACATAGTGAACCCATTTGTTATTTAATACCAGAAGTTGTTAATCCAATGGTCGTTATTACCTAAATTGTATATGGGGCATGGAAAGCACTATTCTCCTGCATATATACAATTTCAATGAAGTAGCTAGTTCCATCCCTTCACATGGTAGAAGAAATGTAGAGTGGGACACAAAGCTTATCCCTGCACCATTGTCTCCCAATTATATGGATTTGGTTACATGAATTAATTCTATCTATCTATTTTAATGGATCCATTAGGTATTATATCCATTCTCCTTCAGGCTTAGTTTCGGAAGGAATACAAATATAAATATATACAAAATAACACAAAATATATGATTTTATACTCTATATATTTGCATTTGTATTCCTTCCAAATTGAGCCTAAAACAATTTTTATTACTTCAATTCCCAGCTCTTTCAGTCCTTTTACTGCATGAGTTACAACTAGAAATGCTTACTACCGATATCATATCTTTCCGGCAGCATAACTTTTCCTTTTGCGCATGTACTCAAATCATTAAAAAAGAAAATTTATCAAAACTGCTACTATATCCAAAGTCCGAGCATCAGAAATTATGATTTGAGAAAGGATAGTGAGGGTTTTAAGCCGAGATTTGCAACATTGGTAAAGGGTGGTCGTATATAAGAACATGCATTCTGCCTTTTTGTGGCCCCACCCTACCCTACCCTGCCCCCATATGGGGTTATGGAATATCGTGATACGTGGACTCCATTAAGGGACGCGGCTGAAAGACCTATTATGCCCTACATGTTACTTTTCAGCTAAAAACAAATATTTCTCCTTTCCTTTGTTGGAGAAGCTTATGTGGATGATTCATTATTAGGCTTCGTTTGTTTAAAGTGAAAATTTCTTTGCACTGGTGTAACAGTATGCAAATGTGTAAGTGTAAATTTTGATTTATTATTTATTCATTTATTTTATATTTCATTCAAAACAAAGTACGTATAATCCTAAGCAAAGTTGAATTAGAATTCACACTTCACACATTTTTTTTTCATATGCACTCCCATACAGTTGTACTAGTGCAAATGAAATTGCACCGCCAACAAAGAGCCTTAAGGTCGATAATCTTATTTGGGAGGAAGTTTTATATGAAAATAAATTTTAGGGAAAATTTCAGATTAATACTCTATACTTTGGGGCTAGTTTCATTTTGGTCTCCCAAACAACCGAATTTTAAGATGTGTCAATCTAGTACCTAAACTTCTAAACTGTGTCAATTTACTCCCTACCATTAACAAGCCTGTTAGTTAATTATCTCTATCTCGTGATGACATGTGTGACTTAAAACTTTTGAAATATCAAAATTACCCTTTGAAATATGACATTGTTCATCATCTTCTTCCTCAAGAATCAATATTGAACCAAAGCAATATTGATCTATCAAATCGATTTTTAATAAACTACTTTTCTCCATCAGATCAGTCTTTGACAAAACGAATTCAGTATGGCATTCTCCGGATTGTTTTCTGGTGTCATCTTCCACATATTAGATCCAGTGCAAAGAACTAGTTAATAAAGAAAACTAGATGACACCCAAATGGCACTTGTGTCCTTTTATATTAATTAATTATAAATGCTAAATTAGCACGTTTTGAAAGTTTAAATACTGAATTAATATGTTTTAAAGTTTTGGGACCAAAGTAAGACTAAGCCCAAAATACAGGATACTAATATACAATTTTCCCTAAATTTTATCTTTGCTATGGATGCCACTAATACAATGCCAATGTGTGGTATAAGGCTGATAATTTCTGGAGGACTGAACATGTGACCAATCCAGAAGGTCGTGTTTGAGTCCATTTACAGCTGCATGCAACACCATAAAAGATGCCAAATTACAAAAATGATCTTATGAAGGTCATTCCCAAAAAAGTGGCCCTTGATGAGCCACAATGACTACCAATGATTCTAATATAGAATAATCTTTAAAATTGCCCAATAAGTCTAAAACGATGAAGTTAATAAAATATAAAATACAAAATCAATTCCCCATTCCCAATCCGGCTAAAATGCATTTTAGCCTTACTAAAGGTCCGTTTAGTCTGCAATCTGAATCGGAAGTGGAATTGAAATTAAGGTTTCAATTTGGTTTATGAGAATATGGCTTTGGAATCAGAATCAAAATGGGCCATATCCATTCTAAGTGTTTGGTTGGATGGAATTAGAATTCAAGTCTTATTTTTGGTGGAATGGCATTCCTCTATTTAAGGGATGGCCATTCCCTCCCCTCTTTTGGGAGTGAAATCTCATTCCAACTTATTCTAATTCCGATTCCAATTCTTGTTTGAATCAAATAGACTATGGGAATGGACCATTCCAATTCTGATTCCGACTATGAATCAAAGAGATCCTAAAATTTGTCAAAATTGGAACCAGATTGATCTATTTGGTTTATACAGGAATTGAAATACATTGGAGTGGGATTTCATTCTCAAAAGAAGGGGAGGGTATAGCCATTACTTCCAATGGGGGAATGCCAGTCTACCCAACCAAACAGTTTGAATCAGAATGGCCCATTCTGGTTCTGATTGCACACCCCTATTCCTGCAAACGAAACTGGCCCTAAAAATATGACAACAAAAAAACAGTTGTGTTTTTTTTTTCCATTTTTCAGCCTAGTCAATCCTATGTTGTATAATGGGAGGAAAAGCTCATCTTATTGCTTGTTATCACAAGACCTTTAAAATTCCTTAAATAATGTAAGAATATATCAATGTTTTTGAACTATCATTGACCCAGACAGTCGGACCGAGAATTGTTTAGACAGTTGGTTCTGTTTTACCCCAATCCCAGTCCCCGACTAAAAACCCTTGAATTGGTCAATGACCTGTTGACTCGGGTGGTTGAACCATTAATTCGTTCAACGATTTTTAGCTATTTTTTGTTTTAACTTTTTAATTTTTTATTAAAATGGGGTGATTGAACCGTCGACCCAGAAATCGGTGACTAGAACAATTTCAGTTCCAGGTCATTTTTAAAACATTGGATTATATGGTAATATAAACAATTTTAACCCTAACAACAACTTTGAATAGTGTTAAATATTTATAAATTATAGTTTTAATGGGACCTGAGAATATCACATATTAGAGTTAAGGTACTCTTACTTCAAGTTGGAACTGGATTGATATTAAACCCAACCCAACGGAATCCGGTCCAAGTTGCACCCTAGGCTCTGTATCTGCAACTAAGCCCATAGGTTGCCCGCGAAAAGCAAATTATATAATGATCTGAGATGACTGAATCATCTAATTCAAGCCGTCCTTTATCCTTGGCTTTCCAATGGGTGTAATGAAAATTATGAAACCCCACTCAAATGAATATAATAACTAGACGAAGTGGTGGTCATCTTTCAAGCTTATTTTCTTCTTAGATCTCTTTTATTGGGGAGTTGGGAGTTAAGGTGTCGATTGGATTGGATTTGATCCAATCTGATTCGGTTCAATATGTTTCTATTAAAGATGGATTAGGTCTAATCCAATTCAATGAATACTTTAGACCATTTTGGATTGGTCTAATTTAATGTTTGGATTGTCCAATCTGCTCAAATTGATTTTAATTTAGCACGTGTCTGGAATCATGGGCATTTATTCATTAAATGTTTGTACTTGATTTGTTTGCAAAACCGGGAAAAGCAATAGTGAGCCTGTTTATTGACACTTATGCGCCACTAGGCGCCATTAGGCACCACATCAGCAAAACAATGAGTAAATGACTACCTATTTGGGAAAGCGTTAAAATGAAGTTTCCCCCAACGGCAAGCATGCACATAAATTAAGGCCTACTTTTTTGAATCTCTATGCATATGGATCCGCATAATGAGGGAAATGCTGAAGTAGTGCCCATGTGGCAGCATTTATTCAATAAACGCTCACGGTTCAAAAACACGCTTAAATTAGTTCCAACTCAAACTTGGTCCATTGACACCTGTATTCTTATCTTCTATAAAGAATCGGATATTGGTTCAATCCAGCCAAATCTAATATAAATCCATTACATATAGGCTAGGACGAGTCCAATCCAATAAATACTTTAGACCATTGAAGTCTGGACTGGTTGGTTCAATTTAATATACTTTATTGGTCCGTCCAATTCGTCTAAATTGATTTTGATTTTGATAGGATTCGACCCAAAATTGATTAATTGATAGCTGACTTCACATCTGCGCCCCATAGCACATCCCGACCTTATATCGAGAACATCTCTGGATAATGTCTTATCATCCCCCGTACTTATCATCGGGAGAAGTTCCCAATACAAGGTTGGGATGTGATGTGGGGCGCCTCGTAGATGTGAACTCTACATTCACATCCCTAACTAGGTGGGGCCTATTTTGATTTATTGGGCACTTTCCATTTGAGTTTAGATCTGCACCCCACGATGGGGCGCCCCACAACGTCCCACAGTGCATCCCAGCCTTGCATTAGGAACATTTCCCGATGATATCGTTACCAATACATGGCGGGGATGCGCTGTGGGACATTGTGGGGCGCCCTCTTGTGGGGCGCATATGTGAACTCTTTCCATTTTCCAATACACAGTTTAGATTTGCATGATTACGAGGATGAAGAATACATGTAAGCTGGTAGCTAACAATAATAAGAAATTGTTTTTGAAGACAAACAATTTGAACATTAAGATGGAGCACACAGAAAGCAAACCAATGGAGTCCCTCTGGATTGACTAGTCAAATTCTCTGCCCTCTAAGAATAATCAAGATAGCATCTGGTAGTGCAGCGCGGCCACCTTCCTTTATAAATCAAGAGAGGTCGTCGTCTAAGTATCAACTCCTCTGACCTCTCACACTCACATACAGAGAATATGGACACACACAGTTCTGCTTCTACTTCTTCTTTGCTATCCCTTCTCCTTCTTACTCTCCTCCTCGTCTTGGGTTCTCTTCCATCTCCCACTCTTTCCACCTCTGAGCGCTGCCACCCAGATGATAAAAGAGCTCTCCTAAACATCAAGAAAGCTGTCACCATTCCTGACCACCTTGCCTCCTGGAATGCCAGCAATGACTGCTGTTACTGGGACTACGTCGAATGCCACACTGAAACCAATCGCATCTACCGACTCCTCATGTACGACACCAGCATCCACCGCCCAATCCCGCCGTCCGTCGGAGACCTTCCCTACCTCGAAGCCCTTGTCTTCAATAACATCAACAACCTCACCGGCCCCATCCCCTACTCCATCACCAAGCTTCAGAACCTCAAGATGCTAAGTATCATCTGGACCCCTCTCTCTGGCCGCATCCCCGATTTCCTTGGTCAACTCAAAAGCCTCGAGTACCTCGATCTGTCCCACAATCAGTTCTCTGGTTCTATCCCCGCTTCCCTTGCCAATCTCCAGAACTTGACAGGTATTCAACTGGCAGCGAACAGACTCTCCGGAAGCATACCCGACTCATTTGGTAGGTTCAAGGACAACTTATATGTATTCGTCCTCTCTCGAAACATGCTTTCCGGCAAGATTCCCAAGTCGTTAAGCCAATTGGACTGTGATTCGATCGACTTATCTCATAATAAACTGGTAGGTGACGCGTCGATGCTGTTCAGGGAGAATTCAACGGTTAGGGGGCTCGATTTGTCGTTTAATCGACTGGACTTTGATCTATCAAATGTGAAGTTTCCGAAAAACCTGACGTTCTTGGACTTGTCACACAACAGAATTAGGGGAAGTATTCCTCAGCAGGTCACAGAATTGGATCTGTGGAGGATGGATTTCAGTTACAATCGGTTGTGTGGAAGGATCCCAGTTGGCGGAAAGTTGCAGCAGTTCAGCTATGAGTCATTTATCCAAAATCGCTGTTTGTGTGGTACGCCGCTGTCCGACTGCAGGTAATCGGGTTGGTCGGCCGGCGATGGCATGAATGAAGGCTACAAAGTTTGAATTTTCTGGTGTATGGGTTTTTTTTTCATTTGTTTAGAAATTATTAGGTGTGAGCATATGTCTGTTCGATTCGGTTTGATGAGAGAACCCAGAACCTATCCTATAGGGGTTGGTTGTAGGTTTTTGGAATCCGAACTTATTCCGTGAAGGTCGGTTTTGGTCTTGGCTGTTCTAGGGTCGGTTTCAAGATCTATTCGTTCTTTCTTTACTCTCCCCTTTAAGTAAAAAATAAAACATGCCTTTCAAAAACACGATTTTCAATAATGATAATATATATTTTAAAACTTATATTATCTTTATTGATTAAATTGATTAATTTAATATGTAGTTTATAAAAATATATTAATATATGGTTGAAAATTTATCATTATGATTTGAATTTTATAAATATTACCTTTTACATTATCTATTATACACGTACAAATGTTAAAATGAAAATAAATGATCAAATCACTTAAATAACTCAATGGTCTAGTGAGAACATGGCTTTTGTAACAATGAGTGTTCGAGATCAAATATTCACATCTTTAAAAATATTTTGAAGTTTATTTCAAAGCAAGTTCAGTTTCAACATCAGTTCTACCAAGGTCAATCAAGGCTGGTTCGAGTAGGATAAACTCCTAGACCCTAGAATCGACCTGGGTGGGGGTGAGTTCCATGAATTTGGAACCAGATTCTACCCTATAACAGATCAGATAGAGTTAGTTCAAAACCGAATCCATTTGGTTTTGGGTAGAACCTACCCATTTGCTTACCCCTGGAAATTATTATTCAAATTAATAAATAGTAAATTACAGCATACCCTTGATATTTATGAAAAATATGATCAACTTTGAAGCATAATTTAAGATCCGTTTGGTTCTCCTTGGGGACGTGAAACAGTCCATGAACACCCAAATCCTTATCTCCCTAGCTGCTTAGCTATGCCAAATTCATTATAACATGATGCCATGAGACAAATCCGGATTTGCACCAAAAAGATGGTGTAACAATTGATGGAACACCTAATCAGAAACAAACACGTCAACAGACTAATGGACAATTTATGCTGATGTGATGAAAAACCCACAGTTGGTCCAGCTCAATTTGATGAACTGGGCTGAAATTTTGCCACATTACAGGCCAACAGGATGAAGGGTGCAACCTAAAATGTACCCTGTCAATCGCTGAAACTGAAAGACCGTGCTCAATCTGGCTTCTTTGACCAGGCTTAGCCCAATAACGATCAATTGGAATCTGTAAACTGTAATGTTAAAAGAAGAGATCATGTTTCAATATTAAGGCCATTGCATATATGAAATTGGACCCAAATCCCACTAATAAACTCGCCCATGCATGCGCCTTCCACTTCCTGTTTTATAAGGTTGATTTGGATTTATAATTCTTCATACCTCCAGATTTATTTATCTTCTTAAGTGGATAATTGAGTAAAATAATTTAAGTATCGGGGATGTAGCTCAAATGGTAGAGCGCTGAGAGGTACAGGGTTAGATCCCCTACATCTCCACTAAAAACTTTTGCTTTCATTGTGATTAGATGCGTGGACAACTTCTGAATTTCATGAAACCAGCACCATATTACACTTAACAGCATTCTCTGTTTCAAGTTTCAATTGTCTCCTCTCATTCCCCCATCACTGAAATAGGGATAGCGAAGCAAGTCCTATCGGCCCGAATTAACTTTTGCTTTCATTGGGAGTGTGACTGCTGCTAAAAGTCAGTCTTGCAATCCATCCCACAATATCAGATGTCAACATCATTATTACCCCAAAAATTCCACAAAACACTAGACAAATCGATACGGGACTTTTGGTGGTATTCCCAACCGGGACAGTCTCTTGGAGCAAGATGTGTCTTCCTAAAGTTTGTGTTGCTGGCTTTCCCAAACAGTTTGTGAAGTTCACAAATCAAGCAGAAATACTTCCCCACATCCAATTTGTTTAATGCAAGAAAAAAAATAAATAACAGTTCTCCTTGGTGGCGGCATACCTAGAAACTCCTATCCACTCTCAAACCAAACATTCTGTGGATGATCAAGAATGGTTCAGAAATACTGGCATTCAGGACTCTTGGATCCCTACCTTAAATGGAGGAGGGTTGCCAAAGCCAACCCCAAATGCTCGGAATAACCCATGTATGAGAGTGAGAGACTTCCTAAGGCCAGATGGAGTCTGGAACCAAACAGCACTGCTCCAGTTTGTAGACCAGCACTCAATCCCTCATGTATTAAACATCACCCCAAATAATGAGATAGAGAGACACACCCATCTGGAAGTTAACAAAAACAGGGAAATTCACGGTAAGTTCAGTTTACCACTTCCTCTCCTCAAAGGTGTGCTCATCATCTTCATCATTCTTCGACTGGAAGCTGCTGTGGAACTCGAGAACCCCATATCGATTTCAATTGTTTGTATGGAGAATGCTATGGGAAGGGATACCCACGAAAGACAAAAATCACCGGTGGTTAGCTCAGGCAGACTTAGCATGTGTGATGTGTTCAAATGAAGTAGACACTTTTCACCACCTCTTCTTTAACTGTCACTTCACCCGAGCTATATGGTGCACAGCCCAAGTCGGACTAAACCCAGAAGCAATTACCAATCAACCTGCCCACACAATCCTCTCAAATTGGTACTAGAAACTCAGGTCCACACATCCAAAGGAAGTAGCAGTAGAGATCTTGGGAAGAGGACGCATAATATTTTATCTTATATGGAATGCAAGAAACAGGAAACAGTTTGAAAACATCACATACACCCCCTAGGAAATCATAAAGAAATGGAGTACCTATCTAGCACTAGAGAGGCAATAAGCCTTGGGCAGTTATGCTGATGTTCAGTCCTCAGAAAACCTTCCCAATGGAGTGGCCACTTTGCAAATTGATGGTTCATATGATCCTGTAACAGGAAGTGCAGGACGAGCATTCATCCTCCAACGATCGCTAAGAGAAGAAGCCATCTACGAAGGAAAACCTTGCTGGGCAATCTGCCCTTATGATGCGGAGTTAAAGGCATTAATTTCAGGTTTAGTGGCAGCAAGAAATCAAAAATTATCTTCAGTAGCAGTCTACAGTGACTCCATGCAGCTCAAGACCTTTTTGCAGGACATCCAAAAGCCAAAACTCTGGATTGAAAAGCTACATCAGCCGCGGATAGCTAAACTTCTGAAAGCTTTCACTAGTCTCCTTTTGGTATATGTAAATAGATCAAACAATCAAGCTGCTCATATTTTAGCATATACAGCTTGTAAAGCAGCTTTATCTATAGTCTCTACTACAAACAGTAAGATGTATGTACATTTAAGCCACATCAATGAATGATAGCTGCCTCTTTTTTTAGTAAAAAAAAAAAAATCTTGAGTTAAGGCCCTTTTCGTTTACCAATAAATAAGTTTGGTAAAGTTGGTTAATGGGTATCTTTTTTATAATCAAACAACTTTATCTATTTGTATGTTTGTTTTTTATGGATAAAAATGTCATTCTATTACTTAGAGAACAATCTTGAAAATAAAAATAAACATGATAAAATTACAAATATGCAAAGGAGAGGCCTAAGAAAAACACCAACCCAATAAGGAGGAAAAGTTGGGTAGAAGTAAAACAACACAAAACAACTTATTCCACTTAATGTAAATAACAATGAAAGATAGCTACAACACGTCTATTGCTAAGAATATTGTCAGATTCCAATTAACGCCCAGCAAGATCTCTCGCCAAAGCCACCCATACAAAGAAAAAGACTCCGGATCTCCTGCCCACAATAGATCTACCCACATCTATCTACACCACAGTATGTCCCATGAATTGGGAACATCTCCCCCTGCATAATATTATGTACGAGAAATAGATATTTTCCATGTGTAGCTGCGATGTTATGTGGTTAGACGTGGACAAGATTTGTGTCGGCAGAAGATTCAGATTCACAAAGAAAAGTCCTATTGCTCATTGTCTCGTTGAAAGGAATAATCACTTCGTAACAGAATCACCAGGAAATGCAAATAAAATTGTAAAATAATAAAAGTTCATTGCTATAATAAATGTATTATCTAATTTGCAAACATTTCCCAAACGTTCGCATATGCATATCATTCATCTGTATTCATGTATTTTTAAACTTCAGAACCTCAAGATGCTAAGTATCATCTGGACCCTTCTCTCTGGCGCAGTCCCCATTTCCTCCATCAACCCAAAAGCCTTGAGTACCTTGATCTGGGTCCGGATGTACTAGGCATGTTAAGTAAATACAATGAGTGAGTACATAATAACTGTGTGACACACGTCCTAGCTAATGTGTCTTTCATCCAAACGTTTTTGTTTCGTTACATAGAAATTATTCATTATTTTATTATTTTTGTCGAAATAATTAAAAATAAAAACAATGAAAAAAGAAAACTTAAACGTGTTGGGAGTTGGAATTCGTTTACATTTTCTTTTTTTATTGTATTTTATTTTTAATTATTTTAATAAAAATAAGAAAATAATGAATAATTTCTGTCTAATAGAACAAAAACGTTTAAATGAAATGAACATTAATTAGACATGTGTCACGTGTTCACTCATTGTGCTTACCTAATGTACCTACTAAAACTGGCACGTTAGGTCTCTGGTTCCATCCCAGCTTCCCTTGCCAATCTCCAGAACTTGACAGGTATTCAACTGGCAGCGAACAGACTCCGACTCATTTCGTAGGTTCAAGGACAACTTATATGTATTCGTCCTCTCTCGAAACATGTTTTCCGGTAAGACTCCCAAGTCGTTAAGCCAATTGGACTGTGATTCGATCGACTTACTCACAATAAACTGGTAGGTGACGCGTCGATGCTGTTCAGGGAGAATTCAACGGTTAGGAGGCTCGATTTGTCGTTTAATCGACTGGACTTTGATCTATCAAATGTGAAGTTTCCGAAAAACCTGACGTTCTTGGACTTGTCACACAACAGAATTAGGGGAAGTATTCCTCAGCAGGTCACAGAATTGGATCTGTGGAGGATGGATTTCAGTTACAATCGGTTGTGTGGAAGGATCACAGTTGGCGGAAAGGTGAGGCAGTTCAGCTGAGTCATTTATCCAAAATCGCTGTTTGTGTGGTACGCCGCTGCCCGACTGCAGGTAATCGGGTTGGTCGACCGGCGATGGCATGAATGAAGGCCACAAAGTTTGAATTTTCTGGTGTACGGGTTTTTTTTTATTTGTTCAGAAATTATTAGGTGTGAGCATGTGTCTGTTCGATTCAAACATGGTTCTGGCCTTAGCAATTCTGGGTAGAAGTGTAAATCAGGCCGCGGCTTGGCATGAAGACCCACGGGTCGTGTCAGGCCAGGCACGGAAGTCCGTGCCATTCTGAGCCGGGGGTTGAAGGACCATGGGCCGACACAGAATGGCAAACATGCTGACACGAAACAAAGCAGAGCCCACCACAGACCACCAGAATCATAACGGGCCACGCTCGGCCCGCCCGAGAATATAACTGTTGGACCCTCTACCAAAGGGGCCCAACAGCTATTTTCAACTTTTGAGAGGGGTTTACAAAAATACCCCCCAAAAGTTATAAACAGCCATATTAAGGGGTATTTTTGTATTATTGAACAAATGACATAAATGATCCCCCAACAAACTATATAGCAAATAGTTTGTAACTTCGATTTTTTCAAAACACCAAACCCAAACCAAACTGACTGCCTATTCGATTTTTTGGTTTTTTTGCCCACCCCTAAATCCAATACATCCGCATGATCGAACTTCATTGAGGGGTGTCTGCATTGTTCTGCGACGGCATCGCAAGATAAGCAATTTCCTCGGTTATTTCTATTTCATTTCACCTTCCCACAAACTAAAACTCGGGTCTAATATCCTCAACACCTAATGCGTATTTAATGCAATTCAAGAATGTTTGGTAAACTACTTCGAGTCTTCCACGGCCATGATTGACAGGTCAAGAAGCCCAAAGTATAGACCTTAATTATTACATATAGTCCAGGGCAAATCCAATGCCTAGAGGCTAAAACATGAAGTTATCACTCAACAAAATTCTTGCTTTGGGGGGAGAGCATACCATAAAAATAATCAACCCACTACAAATATAAAAATTGGAAGAAATGTCGGATTCCTAAGTTGCAAATGTTAAACTAAACAAACAAAATTATGGAGTGATGGGGACAGAACAAGTCTTAAGCGTTTCCTTAGAACACAAGCTCATGGGGTTTCATGCCCGCCTTGAGAGAGAACCTAGCTGCCAAGTATGCTTTCAAGTCTGGAACACCCTCAATAGCTTTTAACAATGGAGCATCAACAGACTTCTGATCATCTTTCTTCTCCTGTGGGAGTGCCGTTTTTTCCTATATTTTGCAAAAACAAGGAATTTAGTTTTTAGTAAAACCCACAAGTGCTATGGCAAACCATTGTATTAACAGGAACAGAGATGGGCTAACCTCTTTCTCTGATTCAAAGAACTCGCCCTCCCCCTTTTTCTTCTTCTTTTCGGCTTCCTTTGTGAAGTACTTGTCATCGAATTTCTCCACATTTACTCCTGAAATATCAACCTTGGTGGAAGTTGCAATCACATAAGATTGGTTTACCCGCCTTAGGGGAACACCATTGATCTTGAAGGGCCCTGTGCCAGAAGGAAAGATGCATCAATAACCAACCAAACCTACAAATTAATAATTAGTCATTTTTCTTTTTCATCATTTTTATTTCATTTGTTCAGAACCACCCTCCACAACAAATAAAAAATGTCAGACAGCCTTCAAAACTATTTAGCAATGCAATAACATTTGGTGACGGAAGTTATTGATCTTCAACTAAAATTCTTCCACATACAAGAGCTGCAACACAGCCAAAGTGGCATGCCCAGGGGTGCAATTTAATTCTTTTTGGAAAGAATCAAATACAATATAACGCAAACCTGAAAAAAAGTAAATGAAGGACAGATTTTCCCTGAATTAGTACAGAGGACCCTCAATCAATTAGATCTTGTTTCATATTTAAAAAAAAAAAACAATAAGATTTGTACGATGCGGAGCTTAATGAAAATTCTGAGCAATACCAATTGATTACTCATAGTAGAAACCATTTATATTAAATTTGCAGCTATGCTATATCACCCAGATGTAGTAAGGAGCCAATGACACAGCTAGAGTGTTAGTCATGGAAATTATACTATAAATGAAATATACTAGCAATGAAAAATCAGCAAGTGACTCAGTAACTCGTCAGGAGAATTAACCAGGAAATTTGAATGCAGACAATAAGAAAGAATGAGCTCCACTTCCGATGTTTTAATAATTAGTTCATATATTCCTGTAGAAGGTACCCACTAAAAGAATAAAATTAAACGAAGTGGTGCACCAACAATTCATACAAAGGCATTACAGTTGGAGAATCCCAGAAAATCAAGTCTGAGATGCACACGATAAACAAATTCATTACAGCACACGAACAAATAAATTCAACATTTAAATCAATTGAACAAATTAACCCATAAGCAAAGGCCTAAACAAGTTAAATTAATCTAGTTTAATCCCTTGGATCGTGCTTCAAAGAAAACAAAATCCAATAAAAAACTTACATTTAAAAGGAACAATTAAATGAGTAAAAACAGATAGACTCACCAGTAACAAGAAGCAAACCGGATGGAAGTTGCTTCAGAAAAACAACTCTTTTCCCCTTAAACCTCCCAGCGAGAAGAATCAACACCGTCCCAGGAGTAATGCTCGCCCTTATTTTAAAAAGAAATAAAAAAATGAGATCAGACCGATAAGCCTATAAACAAAGCAATTGTAATGATATGGACATGGGAATTGGAGGTAGAACCTGAGCTTGGTAGGGTTGGGGTTGCGCTTGTTGACCAAGGGTTTCTTAACGTCATCCGCGGGATAAAACTTCGGCGGCTTCTCGGCGGGCTTCGGTTCTGCCGGTTTGGCGTCGTGTCGGGGGAAGACGCCACCGTTCTTGGCCTTGATAGCCCAGAGACCGCGCTTGTGGTACATCTGCGACCTCGAATACTTGCCCACACCGCGTATCAGATCTGGGTTTCTGGAAACCCTGGGCTTTCTCTCGTTCGGCGCCATTGACGAAGGTTGGGAGTCTCTCTGCGACTCACTTCTATCTCACTCCTCAAACCCTAGGAGAAATAGCGATTCGTGAAAAGAGATAAAACCCCAAACCCTAATGGCTTTATAAATGCCTTATAAATGGAATGATGCGGATCTACATCTTCACTCATAGACCCCATTCCGAAGACGACCGATTAGAATCTATACTGAAGCCGGTCTACCGGGGCTTACAATAACAGCCCGATCTTTGAGCTACAATTAGACCGGTCACGGTCAAGCATTAAGCAGACGGTCAGACCGCAGAAAAATTCCAATCATGGATTGGGTTCACACAGCAGAGAAGACATGAAATAACCCAACCCAAATCTCTTCGGCTCGTCAGTTGTTTTGCAAAATTAGGGCTTAATTAGGCCCATTATCGAAATCAGCACGTATAAGTAGGGGTGTCAACGGGGTCGGGTCTGGGTGGAAGTGGAGCCGATGAGAAAATAAATTTTAAAGAACTATGCAAATCAGGGTCTATAATTTTAGACCCAGAACCGACCAGATTATAATAAGCTTATTGAAAATATTATATATTTAATCCACCGGGTCGGACCAAATTCATCGACAGTCAATCTTACATGTTAGATGTTTGTATAGATAAAGGGCCCAATATCGAAATTTTGGGCTTAATCTGAGATTTGGGCTCTTGAAGAGCTTGAATAAATGTGAACCTTTTCCTCTCCTAGAACCCTTACTTTCCATTTAAGCCCATATTACCATATAGGTACAACTCAGCTCGTTATAAGGCCCAAAACAAAACGGAGTAAAATGATAAGCAACTACGCACCCCAGCATGGAAGCATTAGGCCGGTTTTGTCGTGTCCAAGGTTCTGTTGGTCCGATGCAGAATTTTGGTTGAACCTGACCAACCCATCAGAACTATGATTGGTTTTGGGACAAATCTACGCCTCGAGTTGACTTTGGGCTCGAAACTGTCTTAATTGACCAAGTACAAGAGCATAAGAGCATTGTGAAAATCATAAAAACCGAGGTTTAATCGTACCACTCCTGATCTGTTACCACAAGTTGTTCCCACATCCTTACCTACAGAGTTCCACAACCCTGTATTGGGAACATCTCACCGTTAATGACAAGGGAGATATTCAAATATACAACTGCAATGTCTCATGACTTGAGTTGTGGGAAGAGCTCGTTGGCAGCAGATCTTGGCAAATGGGTGGATTGGATTGGGTAAGGGATGTTTGAATACCAATCCACCCATATTGACCCACCAATCCACCATGACTCATCACCAATCCTTGTTTATGGGTCAGCACCCACCCTGACCCTCACCCACCCATATTGACCCACTTACCTGTCCATTATGATTCTTACTCATCCTCACCTATAAATGCAATTTTTTTTTTTAAATAAATTTCAACCAAAAAAAGAAATTAAAAAAGTACATAAAATGATAAAAACTCAAAAAATTATGATTCAACTAAAATACATAATGATCAAAATTTATAATATATAACAAAAAAGTAGAAATTACAGAAAATACATTAAATGATAAAAAATCGAGAAAACACAAAAATATAAAAAAAAAATCAAAACATATATATTTCAGCCAAAAATCAGAAATTGCATAAAAATGATAAAAGATCAAAAAAATATATTTATTTCATCTAAAAATGCACAAATTGCAGAAAATACAAAATTTAATATATATATATATATATATATATATATATTTGAGCAAAAAATCAGAAATTGTAAAAAAATATAGAAATGCACACAATGTAAAAAACAATACAAAAAATTAAAAAAAATGCAAAAACATAGCAAATGCAAAAGTGTTTGCAAAAAAAATTATAGAAAATGAAAAATTGGGAGGAGGAGGGCATTCTTCCATTAAGCAAAACTCCAATGTTGAAAGGCCTTAGTTACAGAGGATAGAGAAGCCTTAATTCTATATCCATATACACCTATTTTCTGAAAATTTTGAATACCGAACAAAGAGAAATCTAAAATTTAAATTACAGAGAAAGCAGACGAAACATGGATTGGTGATCGAACATTAGCAGTGATTGGTGAACGGAGGCAGAAGAGGAGAATAGACGAAGCACCGGTGGTGATTGATGAAGCTTCAATAAACCCTAATTTCTTGTCTTCTCTACAAATAGGCATGGGGAGAGAGATTCGATCTTCTCTTGGTCGGAGCAAAATAAGTTTCAATTTCTTGTCTTCATAATCACAGATGGACTAAATTTAAACAGGGGTATTTTAATAAAGAAAAATTCTACACCCTCATTTACAACTTTAATACTAGTATAATAAAATATAGATATAGAAATAATATTAAAATTGGATTGAGACGTCTATTCATTTACTGGGCTAGGTTAGACACCAGCTTACCCCAAATCCAAAACCTAAGGTGCATATGTGGTGTTAAGCCCAATCTGACCTCAACTCAATCAGTTCAAATCTCACTTCTCCTCCCAACTCAATTATTGATAACCTTAAACTTAGAATATATCAGGAACAATATCGAACAAAGAAATGGGGATAGAACGCCTTCTTCAGGAATATTTAATTCGTTAATATATTGCTCATGAAACAGAGAATAGAAGAAGAAAAAAAAATGTCTGTATTGAGTCAAGTCCTGTAATTAAATTCAATATGACTTACGAAGGATCCATCGTTCAATTAAATTTTAGTAATATTCAAAAAAAAAAAAAAAGTGCTTTCAGCCTCTTCATCAATCAAATGTTGTAAGAGGAGAGAAGTAGAGTGATGACTAGACAAGTGAATGAGATGTATGCACTTAATGGATGTTTGATTAGATAGGAAGCTACATGCATGTATCAATATCATTGAGTTCATGTTGGCCTGTCAACTGCAAGTGCTTACCCAATTCAACATTTGGTCCAATTATCTTTGCATTTGATTAATAATTTGCATTTAATTTAACTATTCAATCAAATTCAAATAAATACTATTTTATACATATAAAATTATATTATATATACACATTATATGCAATTATATAAAATTTATAATTAATAAATTAAATAAGTCGGATTTGGATTAAATCCCAATCCGATTCAAATCTAACAAAAATAAAGTTTGGATATGGGATTTATGTAGCTGATCGATCCGATTAAAACCCTATTTTTCATGATTATTTGTTAGTCCAAGACTAGATTAGTCTCTCATTTGAGTTTAGGGTTATTTTTTTGGTGTTAATCACTGCATGACATCCCATAGGAGTCATTACTCTAAGTGAATAGTACAACAATACATAGGATTCAAAACCGCACCACTGCTGAGACAATTCATGCACACCAACTCGACTATCCATCATTGGTATTGAGTTCAGTGTTGGGTCACACATTTCCAATTAATATTTTTGACTTGGGAAACTTGCATCTCTCTCTAATCTACCTATTTGAGGGCCTATTACCGCTGTTTTGTGATACAATATCCTAGACTGGGGATGGAAACTTTCCCTGTAAAATCGGGGCCCTGCCCTAAATTGGATGGGTTTTCCTTGATCTTAGACAGGGACGGGGTGGGGATAGGGAAAATACTTTTGCCCTGAATCGGGAATGAGGTGGGACGGGTTTTGCATATAATTTCTCGAACTTGATAATAAATTATTAAAATATGCTTAAGTTTAATATTAATTTCTAAAATATCTTTAAATTTTCCCAAATTCCTAAAACCTATAGGATCTAATAATTTAATATTTAAAATACTTGTAAATTTTCATAATACAATATTTAAAATACTCCTAAATTCCCATAATATAATTTCTTAAAATACTCTAAATATGATATACTTTTAGGAATTGACTCAGGGGGCGGGGAAAATTCGGAGATTCTCAATCCCCGATAAAAAGGAAATGCCCTGGACCACAATTAATTTCTATCTCTAAACGAGTGATCTTGAGAGAGAGATGAATCAGATAGCTAATTTGGCGTACATGTGATTCTGGGGTTACCATGCATTTGCTTTAAGCCACGGACTAATCACTAGCGGACCTTTGCGTGTCTGTTCCTTGGTGGGCCATCCTTAAATCCGTGGCAGATGGACTTGTTCCATAGTGAGTAATACATACAAAATAATACAAAACATAAAACATAAGGCTTACTTTGGAAGGAGTATAAATACAAAGTAGCAGGGACCCGCGTGGTGTACGAGAAAATCTGAAGGATTTAATAATTTTATTTTTCATTTAATGTTGATTTATAGAAAATAATTATTGTTAATTGAATATGAATAAATATTTTTTAATATATTTAGTTTTATTAATAATTTGTGGTAGTCTTAATCATTTTTGTTCTTTTTATTATTTTTAAATGAAATTCTGATTAATTTTAAATAAATAAAAATAATTTTAAAGGTTAATGTTTTTATTAATTCCACTAATAATTAACAATTATATAGGAATGACAACATGGTGGGTTCAAGGCAGGGCACCCCATCCCTTTCTCTACCCCATAGTCAAGACACTCTACTGATTTACCCCATCCACGCCCCATCCCTAGTCTCACACGAGTTCAGGGCAAGGTAACCATTCCTCAATGTCGGGCGAGTTCAGGGGCAAGACACCCCATTCCTCATCAAGGACGAATAATCCTCAAATTTCCTTGCCCCATCCCCAGTATTGGGCGAGTTCAAGTAGATGTGTAAATTGGGTCGTACTGGGTCGGCACAAAATGACCCGCACAAAGTGATAGTCGTGTCGTGTTGGCCCACGAGGCGTCCCAGGTCATGCCTCCCTCTTCTAGGATAATTTGGGGGTCGGTTAGGCACAGTCCACGGCTTTAGCCCGCATGGGCCCGTGCCGTGCCATGGGTCGGGCTAGTCCATTGGCGGCCGGGCCTTGGGCTAGGCCATGCTGCACACCAAGCCAATCTCAAGGCAAGGCACCCACTCCCCGTCCAAGGTTTTCATGAAAATTTTTGAAAAATTTATTACATTTGTGTAACTATGGGGATTTATTGAATTTTTTTAATTGTTATTAAATATATTTTTTATTTGGTAGTTTACTAACAAAATTATACTAATTTATATTTTATTTTTCAATATAAATTAATTAATAATTTCATTTTCTAACATTATAATA